TTATGTGTGATATATTTATCACTTTTTAACAGATCTGGGTCTGACATTCTACCTCTGGACCCTCCAGAGCCAAACTCCACCCTTCCTTTTCAAAGCACAGCCCCCACAAGGCTCTCCTGTCCTCCAGGCTGCTCTCAACCCAAACATTCTTGTCCCAGCCCGTTGGAAAGCCATGATCTAATTTGCTTCGGAGCCTTGCTCGGCTCCTTTCACTGTGGAGCTTGACATACCTACACAAGCCCTGCCCTCACTGCTTATTAGGTGGCTAAACTTATGTAAGTCATTTCCTCTCTAGGAGCCTCAGGTTTTCAGAGGTGAACCACAATATTAATAGTTTCCACATAAAGGAGTTAGTCTAAGTGTTAAGAGGTTACGTATGAGCAGGTAACAGAAACTCAATAAATGTTCAAACTCCATCCTCCGCCCCTGATCCCCACTCCAGATGTCCCCAGAGCTTAAGGTCACAGTAGGTGTTCAGGGTATGATTTCTTCTTTCATTTCTGCCTTGACAACTGTTTCTCTAAGACCCAGGTTGGAGGCACGACTCCACCATTATCTACTGCAAACCTGTTGTCCAAAGTGAATCCCGGGAGAGATGGGGACAAGGTGAAAAGTGACTTGGAGTTGAACAGAGCTGGAGTTGAATGACCATATTTAGCTGTATGGCTTTGGCAAGTCACCTAAGACTTGCTGTGCCTCAGTTTCCATACCTATAGCAAAGAGGGACAATAATAGCACCTACCTTAGTGGCTCCCCTCACTTTCTATCTTGCATCGCACCCCTTCTCTTCCAATATGCCTCACCTTCAGGCTCAAGACTTGGCTGCTTTGGCCTCACCCTGCAACAGCTGACCCACTCTGTGGCCCCTCCCAGAGAAACCATGGCCTGGAACCCAGAGGAACCTGCCAGGAACTAGTGACATCTTGCAGGCCCTTTGAGGCAAGAGTGTGCAACCACAGGGCTGAACCCAAATTCCATTCCTCGTCCAACCATTCATGCACCTGAATGCATTCAATGAATATTCACTGACCCTTCCTAGGGACTGGCCAGGTCCTGGGCTTTGCTAGAGATAAGTAAGTCAATTGGAGAAAGACAAACAGTGTATGTTCTCATTCATTTGGGGAATATGAATAATAGTGAAAGGGAATATAAGGGAAGGGAGAAGAAATGTGTGGGAAATATCAGAAAGGGAGACAGAACATAAAGACTCCTAACTCTGGGAAATGAACTAGGGGTGGTGGAAGGGGAGGAGGGTGGGGGGTGGGGGTGAATGGGTGACGGGCACTGAGGGGGACACTTGACGGGATGAGCACTGGGTGTTATTCTGTATGTTGGTAAATTGAACACCAATAAAAATTAATTTATTAAAAAAAAAAGAGAGAGATAGAGTCCCTGCCTTCAGGGAACTTCTGAGCTGCTACGAGAACACATGGGGGCAGAGAACACATGGGGGCAGACGGCGGGGATCTCTGGGGGCTGTGGGAGCCCAGAGGATGGGATCCAATCCCACTTGGGAATCAAGGTAGGCTGCTTGGAAGAAATGACACTTGAAATAAGTTCATCAGATTTGGGAATTCAGTGTAAAGGCCTTCCATAGAAAGACACTGAGACAAGAGAAATCCTGGTATTTTGCAGTAACCCCCTGTAGTTAGTTCGGTGGTCAGAGCACAGCATGTGAGGCAAAGTGTGGTAGGAGATGAGGCTGGAGTGGTATGGCAGGGGTCTGAACTCTGAATGGCCTTAATTGCCTAACAAGGAGCTAGAACTTTAATGGTAGTGGCGGGGGATGGGTGGCAGGGATGTAAAGGAAGAAAGCGATGTATTAGCATCTGGATCACTGCTCTCTCACTGCTGGTGTGCAAAATAGTAGGTTGAATGTGGCCAGTCAGGAAACAGGGAACCAGGGAATAGACTTGGGGTCGCTCATATGAGGGATGTTGAGGTTGAAGCAAGGCAATGGCAGAGGACGAGAAAAGGTGGATTTGAGAGACAGAAAGGAGAATCAGCTGAACTTGGTGAGGGATTGGGTCTGATGAGAGAAGGGGGGGTTCAGGATGCACATAGGCAGAGGACACAGAGGAAATGTATTGTGCAAGTGTCAAGGGGGTGACTAAGACAAAGATAATGGAGGAACTCTGAGGGCTGAGAAATCAGTGTGGGATAGAAAGGGCAGAAACACCTTTTTGGACGAGGAGGGATTCAGGTTTAGATTCACTGTGTGACCTTGGGTCAGTCATTTTATCTTCCTCTGGTTCAGTCATTTTATCTTGAGTCAGTCATTTTATCTTCCTCTGGTTCTTTAGATTTCCACCTGCTAGCCTGGCTGACTCAGTCAGTAGAGCATGTGACACCATCTTAGGGTTGTGAGTTCAAGCCCCACATTGGGCATGGAGCTTACTTAAAAAAAGAAAGGAAGGAAGAAGGCTAGATGTCCACCTGCTAACTTAGGAGGCAGAGAATGATAATTGTGAGGAATGAATCACATCAAAGAATGTTCAGGAAGTGCCTAGCCCTGTGGATGATTTGGAGGGGAAGGTGTGTGACAGGTGGGTTTGGTCCAGGGAGAGGTGGGGCTGGGCTGCCATTTGTGCAACAGCCTTACCATTGGCAGTGGGAACACATCCTTGCAGGAGAAGGTGTGCGGGAAGGGGAAATGTTATTGGAACACATGCATGTTGGATTTGAGGGGGTCAAAGATCAAGGCAGTCAAATGAATCTACTCCTGGGAGGCTGTATCTTGGCAGTCAGCAGTGAAAAGCCTCTCAGAATCATGAACCCGAGACAGCCACTTCCTCAGGAAGTACCCAGGCCCGGGAGGCCTGAGACCTTTGAGTTCTGATCTCAAGTCAGCACCTGAGTTGCTGTGTGACCCTGAGTCAGTTCTAACCCACTCTGGGTCCCAGGTTCCCATATGCACAACAATAAAAGCATGTGTGTGTTGGTGGAAAGGTGGATGAAATGTTTCCAAAGGTGCTCTCCAGGTGTGTTATGCGTTAGTTCTATGACCCTGAGTCCTTTTTTATTAAAAAAAAAATCTAATCCTGTTTCCAGCCCTGACTTACTGTATGGCACTGAGCCAGCCTGCTGGACCTCTCTGGGCCTATTTTCACATCTGGAATATCAGGAGATGGAGCAGGAGACTCTCCAATGTCCAATGATTCTCCCTGGAGGATGCTTACCCTCATCTTTAGCAGAATGCTTCAGACAAATCAGAGGAAAGTGAGACGCTGGTCACAGACGACCCCCCCCCTCCAAATCTTCAGTCTTCTCCCATTGCCCTCCCCTCCCTACTGTCAGGAGCTTGCAGCACTGGCTCTCTTGCCAAACTTGTTGCCATGACAACAGGTTACAAATAACTCAGATGCAGATGAAGATTTTAACCCAACAGCTGCTGGTCCAAGGGCTTCTAGCTTCCTCCCCACACCAGACTGAGGAACAATCTGACATATTCTCTGGGTTCAAGTGACTTCCCTGATCACAAGCCTGCTACGGCTCAGTGTCACAAGAATAAGTCCTGGTGTCTGAGGCTCTCCTAAAACCTGATTCAAATCTTTCCAATCACATTTCCCACTTGCTCCCATTAAAGAGTAATCATTCCCATTCTGAACACCTGCTTGCTGTCTGCCAAGGCCTGTGTTAGATGCTTTATACACAGTAGCTAAGAAAATCTCTCCAGAACTCTATCAGATAGGCATTATCATTCCCATTTCGTAGAGGACAAAATCAAGGCCCATGGATGTGACTTGAGTAAGGAGGTCAGAGTCAGAATTCGAACTTAAATGCTTCAGACTCCCAAACCCAGGCTTTTTCTATCGCCAGTGGTTCACAAATGTTGGCCTACATGCTTAAGGCATATCCACATAATCTGAGACAGCTAATAATTCAGATTCTAACTTCCATTCAAGAAGGTGGAACACATCTGTCTCCTCTAATTCCTGGGAATAAGAGTAAAGGAATTGTGTACAAACCCACATCTCCAAAAAGAGCTGGAGGAGGTCCCATTAATGGGGATGAGATTTCAGTAACTTTCTGGCAAGCAGAAAGAGGCTGGAGTGGTGGTAACTGAGAAAGCAGGACAGAGAAAGGTAGAGGCACAGTCCACATGTGGGACGGGGAACCTGCGGAGAGCCCTGGTCTACCCTGCAAAAATCCTGGTGAGACTCTGGCACAGAAGAGCTATCCTGATGGTAGGCATGAAATGTAGAGCCCCTGACAGGGGGAGAATTCAAAGTATGTGTTGGAACAGTTGACTCCCCCACCCTCCCTTTGCCCTTCTCCATGTGCAGAAATCCGAAGAGCCAAGCATCTGCACTTAAGCAAAATACAGAGGGTTTCTTAAAGAAATCAAACAGTTCTAGAACAAAGCCTCCAATTTCCGGACTTTAGGAGTCCTCCAGCAGAAGGTGCTGGTCCCCACCCAGTCACAATAAAGTCTAGTAGTTGACTTGATCAACCTCTGCCTCTTCCAGGCTCCCAACCAATCAACTTTCTATTGGTTTCTTCTTAAATCAATGGGCTGGAAGGTTTGAACATCTGTGAAAAAAACATGCTTATAGGGTTATGAATGAACTGATGAAGCAAATGGGAAAAATGAAGACTGTACCCATCTCAGGCAGGGGTAAAAAAAAAAAAAGCAAGCAATTATTAAGTTCAGGAACATAAAAAAATGCAAAATAAATCCAGGTCATTATAGTACATTTCTTGGCCCTGTGGCAACTACTGATTTACCAGAAATTGGGATATAAACATACTGGAAGAGTGAAGGGAGGGATATAGGGATGTATGTGTGAGGAGGGGGATTAAAATCCTCTTCTACTCTAAGGAGATGTGAAGAGATCATGTCTCGAATTGCTAAGTTAAAGAAATAGTGTGATATAATATTGTAGGTCTACTCTACTTCAATTTAAAAAAGAAATAGTAGTATCAATGTATTCTATAGAAACAGTGATCCTTCAGTTAAAAATCCTTTCAGCTACAAGCAACACAAAACCAAACCGACAGTGGCTTAAACATATCTAGCTTTATTTATTCGTTCATTTATTTATTTTTCAGGAAGTTCATTTATTATTAACATCAGTGTGGCAAGGGTTCAGCTGCTCAATGATGCCATCAGGGAACCAGGCTCTAACTTTGTCTGCCTTCATGTGTTGTGTCTTCACCCTCATGTTCATCCCCTCACTGTCACAAAATTGTTGTCACAGCTCCAGGCAGCACGGCTATAGTCAAGGCAGATAAAAGAAGGGAAGGGACAGTGTTAGTTATGCAAGTCTCTGAAAGCAAAAGCCTTTTCAGAAGGTCCCCCCACCCCCTCCCCAGCAAACCTCTCCTGGCCATAACTGGCACACATAACCATCTCTAGCTGCAAGGAAGCTTAAGAAAGTGGCTCTTCAGCCTCTGACTGGGAGATGACAAAGGGGAAGGGGGTTGGGGGTGGTGAATGCCAGAAGAAACAGCCCAAGACTGGTAAAATCCTTCATGTAGTTGCCTCTACGAAGCAGGGACTGGCAGCAGGAGGGGACAGGGTATGGCTGGGTTTTCTTATGAGCTCTTCAGCACAACAGTATTTTTTTTAAGCATATGCGAGTGTTACTTTGATGAAAAATTAAAATTTAGAAGTGTTATGGTTTCTCTGAAAGAAAAACATTAAAAACAAAATAAAAGCTGGTAGCAGTTTTCTGTCTCTAGAGGAAAGGACATCAATTCACCTTGGAAGCAAACTTACCAGAATAAGTCTGTTACTTAGACAAAGGTATCACAGGTGTCCACCCCTTATCTTAGAGAGAATTGTGCTATCACCATTAACTCTAATGTGACTTATGGAAACCAGTACAGCACTTGTAACACTTACATGGGTTGACTGTGGTTAGACAGTCCTGGTGCAATTTCCTGTCTGCCATTTATTAGCTCTGTGACTCTGGGCAAGTGACACCTGGGAGCCTCACTTTCCTTCTCCATGAAATGAAGATAATTCAAGGGCCAGGTATAAAGTAAGCATTCAGCAACTGTTATCCACTCTGATTAAAATATTCAATGTTTTGAACAGTGACATAATTTGGGTGTACTTTACAGCATTATGCTTCCACTGAGTTTGTTTTTTATCCCAAACATGGGTTTGGGCTGGACTGCCCCTGAAAATTATTTGTTCCTGAGAGATGTGTGTGCACATTTTTGCCCAGGCCTTTGTTCACAGAAGATACTCAGTTTGAACCGCATCAAGAGATATGCCAGGTTCGATTGCTGTTGACTCCTGTTGAAGGAAGATTGTACAAGGGAACTAGACAGGATTGTCATTTCCAATATATATATTATATAATGTTAAAAACAATCTACTCTGTGAAATGTGCTGCCGAGTATTGTGATTGCCTCATGTAGGCCTGGGAGTGGGGAAAAGAACAATGACCTCCTTTCTCTGGTGTCAAGGTAAAAGCTGGAGATCTGAGCACATGGCCTAAAACCATCCAGTTGTTGGATGATCACCTTGCCCACACATGGTATCAGTCCTGGGGGCTAAGGAGAGGGACTGCCAATACACAGCCCCATTCAGAGGCGCATGAGTGGTGGCATTTTCTTGGAGAGGTAATATCTGACATCCATTTACAATTTTCCTTCCTGGCTTGGTAATTATCATGTTATCCCCAAGACTCCTGTAAAGCTCTATTACGCACACATACACAGAAGACACTGCATCCATTAAAGAAAAGGATGCCATGAAAAAGGCACCTTTGGAGACTAAGAGAGTTTAGAAATTTAAAATGACTGCCAAAATAAAACAAGTACAATAGAAGATAAACTCAAGAAAATGTCTCGGACTGCAGAATAAAAAAACAAATACATGGAGAATATGAGAGAAAGTAAAAAGACAAAGACAATAATCTAGGAGATCTCACACCCAATCAATAAGAGGTCCAGGATGAGAGAACAGAGAAAATAAAGGAGAGAAAATTAACAAAGAAATAAAACAGTGTGATTTCTCAGAGAGGACCATGAGTCTTCAGATTGGAAGAATCCAACTATCAAGTGCCCAGAAAACAGATGGGGAAAAAACAGTCCTGAGCTCATCATTCTGATATTTCAAAACACATGAATGAGAAAAACAGTAAGCTTCCAGAGGTGAGGAAAACAGGTCACCAAGGAAGGAATGAGAATATTAGCACACTACTTCTAATCAGCAACACTACACGCTAAATGCAATACCTTCAAAATTCAGAAGGAAAGATCTCTTTAAGATTTTTATTTATTTATTCATGAAAGACGGAGAGAGAAAGAGAGAGAGAGAGAGAGAGAGAGAGAGAGAGAGAGAGAGAGAGAGAGGCAAAGACACAGGCAGAGGGAGAAGCAGGCTCCATGCAGGGAGCCTGATGTGGGACTCGATCCCGGGTCTTCAGGATCACACCCTGGGCTGAAGGCGGTGCTAAACTGCTGAGCCACCCGGGCTGCCCAGGAAAGATCTTTTGAACATAGAATTCTAAAGCCAAATGATCATGCAAACATGAAGATAAAATAATGCTACATTTTCGGACATGCAAAGACCCCGAATTTTACCTTTCTTAAGGAAGTTACTTGAGGATGTTCTCCAATGAAATGCGTGATGTCTCAGTCAGGATTCTTGGATGCCAGTAACAGAAACTGACTCTAGTTAACTTAAGCAGAAAAGGGACTTATTACAAGATTATCACGTAGTTCACAGAAGCCTGGAGATGTAGGTAGGAGAAGCTACAGATAAGGCCACACCATGGGAACAGCCAAGATATAATGCCACTACTGGTCCTGCTACCCCCACTGCTGCAACCCCTGGATGTCATCCTACCACCACCCACCACTCTGGATGACCTCCAGCCATCCTCCTGTCTGCTATCATTCATTTGTGGTCAATGTCCACATGGTCTTACTCATGCTCTTCAATCCATGGCACATTATTTTCCCCAGTTCACTGAAGGCCCCTCTTTTGCTTTATTTCATTGTACTATTATTTTTCCCTTCCAGTTCCCATCCCCACTCCCATTTGACTTTCCACCTCAGTGAGCTACTCGAGGGTATTTCATGTATATACACTTCCAATTCATCTTCCATATGTTTATTTAGATATATGCATATCCATGAAAATAGTGTTGTTTTACAATTACATAAATGGTGTTATGCTGGAAATCTCATTCCGTTTTTACCTTTTCATACAACACTAGGCTTTCAAGACCTATCTGTGTGGCTATAGTAAATTTAGCTCATTTCTTTTTACTGTTTTCTATTTCCCATCCTATAAATATACCATAGTTTGCTTATCTGGTCCCATGGTGATGGACATTTAGATTGCTCTCAATTCTTCACTTAACACAAACAACACTATAACAAACAACCTCAACTATATTTCCTTAAGGACCTATGTGAGAATTTCCCAGGTATATATTTCTCCAGAATATATATTTAGGAGTGCAATTGCTATGTTGTAGGGCCTACACACACTGAACTTCAGGAGGTACTGCCAAATTAATCTCTGGAATACCTGGATCAGCTCATGCTCCCACCCATGAACTTCCTTTTCTGCACATCCTCATCAGTATTTGATAATACTGACTTTCTGCATGTTACCATTCTTATAGCAATTTGTTATTTTAATTTTCACCTAATTATTAGCAAAGTTGGAAATATCTTAATATATTCAAGTTTCCCCTTGTACAAATTCAAGGTTCTCCTTCTGTTAGTTATTTTTCACATCATTTGCCTATTTTCCTATTGGGTTTACTATCTTCTTTTTCTAGTTATCCATCTTTTGCCAGTCTTGCACATTGCAAATATATTCTCCTAATCTATCATTCATACATTAACTTTGTATATTCCTCTCTCCCTTATACTGTTGACCTGACTCTAGATTCAAGGCCATGAACAGAATATTCAACCCCTGGTGGGCAGGGAAAGGAGGTTTCTGACCTCCTTCAGTTTCCACAGTAGGAAGTAGAGCCCTGCCTCCAACGAAGACTCATAGGAGGGGGGAATCTCCCTAACAGGATGAGGATTTAGATGCTAGGTAGCCACCGAGTTTACTCTTTTGATTGTCAAACATCTACATACACCCTTCTCAAAGTTACTCCACAAAAATGCTTTCCACCTATATAATTTCACCTTATATAACCAAAAATACACTCACATTCCCTCTGTAAAGGGAGACAGCAAAAAGTTTAAGAATGCTTTCAGGTACAAGTAATATAAAAGTCAACTCAAGCCGGCTTAAATAATAAATGTAATTTATTGGCTCACTTAACTGAGAAGTCCGAAGGCAGGGCAGACTTCAGGCATGGTATGATCAGGAATATGGTTCCATTTCTCTGTGATTCTTTTGCCTTCTCCATTTGTCAGCTCCATCCTCAGGTAGGCCTTCTGCATGTTCACAAGATGGCTAACAGCAGCAAACAGGCCACATGCTTCTTTGTTCATATCCAAGGGAAGACAGGCCACCTCTTCCCTCAAAAACTGAACAAAAGTTCTAAGCTTCAGTGTGACTGGATCATGCCAGAACCAATCATCACTGTGGCAAGGGGCATGACACTCAGATTGGCTTATACCAATAAAGGCCTATACCTAAAGCTGGCAGTGGAGTCAATCCCACTCGAATTGTACAGTTGTTATACAATGGGAGAGGAGAGGAATGGATGTTGGAAAACAATCACAAAGTCCACTACAAAGGAGTAAACTAAGAAAGAGGAAGATATGGGGTCCGGGAAAGATTGGGTCCAGCCCAGAAGAGTAATGAAGGGACGTCCCAGGATGACAGTTGTGCTGCAGGCCTAGAGAGCAATCAGTCCAAATTGGAACAGGAAGACGGAGGGCTCCAGGAGGAAGGTATCTGGGAAAAAAGGGATTCAAATGATTTTATACTTTCCTTTGAGAATTTGGAATAACTTAAGAAGGAGATAGTCAGACAACGCAAGGAAAAAAGAAAGGCAATTAGAAACTCCAGGAAAAAAAATACTGCGTAAGAAAAGAAACGTAATCCTAGTACACTAATTGGAGCTTCAGGGAACAACATTTACATAATTATAATAACATAAACACTTTATTGACTTTAAACTTTTAGAATGACCTGCCAGCTAAGTATGGATGACTTAATTATGGTTATAGACCAGAATGTAAATGTTATTAATCTTATTAATTGAAGTAAAAATAAAAATGACAAGTTGAGATACTGAAAGGAGTGTAAATCTGTTATTGAAAGGTACAAAGGTAAGGAATAGAGGATATATAATTAATAGTAGAGTTATATTGGGGGCATGTGAGGAGGGTAGTTGGATGATTTAAATAGCAGGAAGTCAACAGATAATGTCTAAAAGTGATAATTAAGTTGATAAATAGAAAAATCTGCATATTACTTAGAGATATTAAGATAATTACCAGAAAAATTAATAACAAACCATTATCGACTAGATTTCCAGCTCAAGATGGCAGACTTACCATGTGTTTATCTTCACTCCCACCTGAGACCTTGCTAAAATGATAGTAAAGGAATTTAAAAAAAGGTATAAAAACACAGTGATGAAGAGAATGAGAGCAGGTCCATCAGCAAGAGAGATTTTAACACATTTCTGGAAGACAGAAAGTAATGGACAAATGGTAACTGATGAAGCATGGTGGAGGAAGCCATAGCCTGGAGTATGCATGATGATGCCACCGAGGAAGGAGTTGATCTTTCTCTGCAGAAACCTGGAATGTCTTGGGTCTTAACAATGCCAGGTATGATGTAAAGTAGGAGTGAGATGTTGGGCTGAAAACAGGGAGATTAATTGGAAGGTTGTATATTGAACCATTAACCCACCCCCTTGTGTGTAATTCACAGCAGCCAGGTGTCTACCCATTAGGCAAAACCCAGAGGGTTCTTAACTAAGGAAACTAAACCACCTCAGAGAAAATATCTTTGCTTTCTGGCATTCAGGGACTCTGCAGCATAGCAGGCAGTTCTTCTCCAACCAATCATCCTAAAGGGAAGCCACCAGTCACCTAGCGCTGCCCCCCATACACAGAGCTTCCAATCAGATATGTTGTTACATTCCTAAATATAAGTATACAACCATGGATTACCAGGCACTTGAGAAATGACCACAAATTAAGAGAGACCAAAATAAGCAAAAAGGGTAAAACAAATCACAAAGGAAACATATTTTTTTAAAGAAAAAAAAAAACCCTTTAGTGTACCCAGAGAGAGTCAAGATACTAGAGCATCAAATAAACAAAGATAGGATGCTGTAAGAAAGGAAAAGGCACATGAACGGATATTTGGAAATTTAAAAATGTGATCATCAAAATGAAAGAAAAAAAAAGCAACAGAAGAGTTGAAAGATAAAAGTTAAATCTTCTTCCAAAAGGAAGAGAGGGAGAAAACTAGGCAAGGGGGGGGGGGGAATGAGATTGAGGGAGAGAACAGATAAAAACTACAAAAGATCAATTCAGGAGTTCCCAGAGAGAACAAAATAATCGGAAGGGAGTAATGTATTAAATAAATGAAAGAATTCCCCAGAGTTAAAGAACTTCTAAATGAAGGGACCTAACCAGTAACCAGTACAATGAATGACAAATCCCCAAACCTAAACACATAATTATAAAATTTCAGAACACCAAGAATATAATTCCTAAAAAATAACTATTTAAAGTGGGGGTGGGTGGGTGAAGTACTTTTTCTTATTTCTCTTCTCAAGTACATTTAAGAGCCTGGGGCACTGTATATAAACATGACTCTGAGAAGTGAAGAGAAGAAGGCAAACATGCTAGAGACCTTGGCAGCAGAGAAGCAACATGGTGGTGAGTTCCCTTGGTTTGCTTTTTTGCTTGCATACCCTAGACTTGGGGGGAGGAAGTGGCCATTAGATAACTCCACTTGGCTAGAAGTGGCCATTAGATAACTCCACTCCAGCCAAATACCACAGAAAACAACTGTGGTCCCACCAGCAAACACCAGGTGGGAAGCTTAGACTTCTACCCTCGCTGGTTGTAAAAAGTCACCCCTCTCTCTTCCTGCTGGGGTGGTATCAGAGAAGGTTGAGGAGGGAGCTGCAACTCCCATCTCCCCACCCAAGAGTAATGACTATCCATAGTCTGGACTGTCCACAGAGACTGAGCGGGGATCCTAGACTTCCACGCCCACCTAGTAGTAATGAGGCAATGTCCCCTCTTTCACTGCTGGAACAACAGTGTCTGAGGAGGCAAGTTGAAACAGAATGCCCAGGTTTCAACAGAAAATTAGTCATCATACCAAGAACGAAGAGGATCACAACTTGAATGACAAAGACACTTAATAGACTCCAACACCGATATGTTAAAAACTATCTGACAAGGGTTTTTAAGGAGCCATCATAAAGTGCCTCAATGCACAATTAGGAACAGGCTTAAAACAAATTAAAAATAGAAACTGTCAGCAAAGAAACAGAAGATAAAAAGAACCAAGTGGAAATTTTAGAAGTGAAAAACCAAAACAAAAACCTCAATGGATGGGGCTAATATCAAAATGGAGAGAATAAAGAACCTGTGAACTTGGGAGATAGAACAATAGAAATTACTCAATCTGGAAAACAGAGAAAATAGACTGGAAAAAATAGTGAATAGAACCTTAGGGAACCTGTGAAACGGTAACAAAAGATCTCACATTTATATCATGGAGATCTGGAAGGAGGAGGAAAAAAAAGATGTGGGGAAAGTTCCCTACAGAGCCATGAGACGTAGACTGGTATCAGACTGTGTATCATCAAAATTGGATGCTAGAAGAAAGTGGAACAGTTCCTTCACAGTGGGAAAATGATGTTGAACTTCAACCTTTACAGTCAAGTACAAGGAGGACTAAAGACATTTTCGATGTGCAGACTTGGGAAGTCTAACTCCTACGTACTTTTCTGAGAAAGTTACTTGAGGATGTGGCCCAACCATCAATGGAAAAAAAATAAACAAAACAAAACCCCTGGGAATCAGCAAATAGTGGATCTAAGCAAGGAAAGCAGTGAAGGAAGGTCCAGAAATGACAGCCCTGCATCAGGCCTAAAGAGCAACTAGTCCAATTTGAGAAAGAATATAGTGGGCTCCAGGAAGAAGGTTTCTTAGATCTTTTTTTTTTCCTCCAAGAGACGTTCTTCCTGGAGGAAAAAAAAAAGTAGGCCTGATGGAATGTTTAATAGAGAATTTTGAGGAAAAAAATGGAATATACAATAAAGTAAAACAGTGAAAGATGAAAAGAGAATTAGAAACTTGAGGAAAGGGCAGCCCAAGTGGCTCAGCAGTTTAGCGCCACCTTCAGCCCAGGGCGTGATCCTGGAGATCCAGGATTGAGTCCCACGTCAGGCACCCTGCATGGAAGCCTGCTTCTCCATCTGCCTGTGTCTCTACCTCTCTCTCTCTGTGTGTGTGTCTCTCATGAATAAATAAATAAAATCTTTAAAAAAAAGAAACTTGAGGAAAAATGAAAACTACAAGGAAAAATTATAAAAAGTACATTAAATGGCTTCTTCAGTGAGTATTTACAGTCATATTCTACAATTGCTTATCACTTTTCAAATCAAACTACAGACAACATGCATATCAAAAACTATAATGATTACAGGATTCAAATGTTATCAACTTTGACAATATAAAAGACCAGATGACAGAAGTTGGGGAGGTTGAGAGCAGAGGAAGGGGGAAAAAGAAAAGACATTCACATCTAACAAAATTCTGGTCAAATATTGTCTCTAAGTCATGGAAAATGAAGAGTATCATTTAAATTCAGAAAAGTAGTACAGAAACAAAACTATACTGGAAGCAGGAAAGACAAGAGTTGAACTTGATGTGACCTAAATCCTCACTTGTCATTTGCAGGACATCAATGGGTTAATGTCTGAAACTGATAAAAGACAAATGCTCACATAACACAATATTTAAATATGGAGGTCACAATCAGAAGAAATAACGAACAGTGGTTGCTAATAACGAAAAGCAGTAGAGAGTGGGGCTGAGACTCAACTTTTCATGTCCTTTTGTACTGATTTAAGTTTATTGATTTGCCTTCTAAATAATGTGTGTGCACTGATCCTATTTTAAAATGAACATGTACTTAAAATTAATCTTAAAAACGCAGGAAAAGGACATTCCTGCCCACCACTTACTCCCTCCCTCCCAAATTCCCTTGTATCTGCAGACCTGAAGGCAGCATTATAGAAAAAACTTTGTGAAACTTGCAGTCTCCCTTCCTGCCTTTAGCTTACGTGCAGCTCTGCTGCAATCAAACTGCAATCTTTGTTAGCTTGAAGTTACCTCATTAACACCTACCTCCTGGCTTGTTTTCAGGTCTCCCAGGCCTGGAAAGCCCTTATTCCTCACCTCTACCAGTTGGAATCCTATTTATTCTTCAAGGCTTGGCTCAGTCCTCCTCTGAAAAGTCTGCCTTGGTCCCCTGGTAGAACTTTTTCCTCTCTCATCAGGGACTCCTCGAGTTTTCACTCATGCCTCTAATTATGACACTTAGATGTTCTCTCTCCAAGTGTGTTACTTAGGCATCTCACGCCTGCAACCATCTTTTATGCCAGCTACCAGAGTGATCATCCTAAAATACCAGTCTGACTCTGTCACTCCCTTGCTTCAAACCCTTCTAACAGTTTCCTATCGCCCCTGGAGTCAAAGTTAATGCTCCACTGCCTGGCTTCTGCCACTTCTTCCACCACACAGGACAAGGCCCATTCCCCAGCCCACCCCCAAATCCATGCACTTCCACTCTTCATGTTAACTTTGCTCAGGCAGCTCTTCTGCCTGGAATGTTCTATATCCTTTCTACATAGTAAACACCAACTCTTCCTTTAAGAGGCAGTTCGAGTGCCCCTTCCTCCATAAAGGTTTTCTTGAGTATTCCCTCCATCCTGCTCCACCCCACATGGGCATGGTCCTATATTCTCACCCTGCCTCATCCAGACCTCTGCCGTATAATCTCTCGCCTTTGGTGCACTCCTCTACTTGAGTCCCCAATTAAACCATGAATTCCTAGAATTCAGGAATTCTAACTTATCTCTAGAACCTAGCCCTGGTCCTGACAGGATGCAGGAACTCCCATGTATTCTGGATGACCAAACGGGTGCAAAGGTGGAGCCAACAAATGAGTGAACGCTTATATTAATGCCTGAGTGCACAAGCTAATAAGTGAATGAATGAATTATGCACAAAGAGATGAACAAATGGACAGTAAGTGGGGGCATGAATGAGAAAAAGGAGCCAGGGAATAAATGAATGAGAAGTACCTGTGCCACTGAGGGCATGAGAGGAAGGATGAGTGAATTCCCACCTGTGTCTTGTTTCAAACCCACCTGGACGACCTTCTGCCCTGCTATCCACCCATCTACAGTGCACACCGCAGTATTAACTTCTTTTAGATCACAAAAACAGACACACTCAGGTTAGTGATGGAAATTTATTGAAGCATTCACAGGGAAATAAGGAAGACAAAAACAGCTACACAGGCAGCCTCATGGAGGAACAGAAACTTGAAAATGGTTCATGATCCAAAGCAGCTCTAGAGCCTGGCTTATCTTGTCACCCCCTCAGCTGCAGGCATCTGTTGCTCCCTTCTCTATAGTGCTTCCCAAAATGGTGACTCAACTTCTTTCTGGATGTATTTATACTCCTCCTACTGCTACTTAGACTACCTTTTTTTAAAATGTTTCCCCCTGCTACCCTCCCTCGCTAGCACTTGGCCTTCAGGGGCCTCAGGGCTTCTCGGCCTCCTGGCTCCTGCAGCTTCCTGGCTTCTGGGGGCTTCGGTTCCAGTTAATCCAGGGCTTCTCTGTGCTGTAGCTTCTGCTCGCCGCATAATTCCTGCAGCCTCTTCGATTCCTGTTGCCTCGCTACCTTGTGGCTCCGACAAGTCTCAGTGCTTCTGCTCGTGATCTTGTCTGTTCAAGCCTTCTGCTGCTTCGTGGATCTCGTATTCATGGTTTTGTCTCGTGGTTTCTGTTCCTCGTGGCTCCTGCTACATTGTGGCTCCTATTGCTTCATGGCTTCTGTGTCCTTTTGGCCCATGGTTGTCTTGCTGCTTCATGGCTTCTGCTACCTGTGGCCCCATGTTCTCATGATATAAACGTCTCATGGTCCCTGCAGCTTTCTCCTAGCTTTTGCTGTTTAGCTTCTGGCACCCCTCATCCACCACCACTTCTGTCTTGCTAAGTTCTAATTAAAATAGTTCACTTCTGAATGCCTCACATCTGGCCTCCCTGGAGGCCATTTGACACAGGCCATCACTATGAGGTGGAACTTTTACAGCAGTCCACCTAATAGGCTATAGCCTAGAGACTGGCTGTCTTCGAATCCGATACGATCCCAAACTAACCTCTTGTGGCCAGGATAGTGAGGTCACATGGTACAGAGCATGGCAACTCATGCTTAAGAAACCCCTTGGAAGGGACTGTGGGCATGGCAGGTTTGCTGAGGGTTTCCAGAAGGGGGCAGTGTAATTGGCCTATCCAGTACACTGACCTTCAAGGCCGACCTAAGTCCCACCTTCTCCCTGGCCGCCTCTGCCTGTCCTGATCTGTGATGGGAGAGATCAAGGCTCTAGTGGTGATGTGGAAAGGTAACTTAGGTTCCGGTTCTGGCTCTGACACTTTCTAGTAATGGGACCTTGGGCAAGCTCCTTCCCCTCCCAGGGCCTCAGGAGGGGGGTTGGACAAAGTCTGTAAGTTCCCTTACAGGTCTGACATCTGGGCATCTTGCTTTAGGTTACTTACTCTCTAAGGGATGGGAAGTCTTACCTGGGGAAGCCCTCAAAAACATCTCTTGAGGTAGGAAAGAGGGAGTCAGAGTCCTGGCTTGGAAGAGCCTCACTGCATACAGGAGGTGCTTAGCCAAGATTTATTGAACTGGATGAATGAATCAATGGCTGGGGGGTGAGGTGGGAGTGGGGAGGTGGGAGTGGAGGGGGAGGGGACCACACAGCACACAGAATGCTTAACTAACTTGAGGGAGGATTTCCAGTGGCTGAGGCTGGAAGGAGATGCTGACTTAGATGAATAAGGAAAGAGAATGACTGGGATAGAGGAGGAATCTGGGCTACTAATGGGCATACATTCTATCCTCAGTCACCCTCCACATCCAGTAATCCTCAGGCATCAAGTCTGGCTCACACTTTTATTGCCTCTGATCCATTCCCACTGCCCTTGCCCTTGAGTAGGCCTCCTAGGCTTTTCAACAGTTTCCAAACTCATCCCACTGTCTCCATTCTCTGTCACAAATGCATTCATTCACACATTCACTCATGCAAAAACTATTTATTGGGTGCCTGTTTGGGGTCAGGCACTGTGCTTTTTGCTGGGGATATGCCAGTAGCAAGATAACCCCAGACCCATACCTGTGGTGCTTTCAGCTTATTCAGAAACAAAACAAGCAAACACAGTATGAGAAATTGAGCCAACAGGGAAACTCCAGGCATGGCAGCATACAGCATGCACATTTAACCTAATCCATTCTATAGTGGCTTGCCAGAAAGAGGTTTATAAAATTCGCATCCAACTCAGGGTCTCCCCTACTTAAAACCATTCCATGGCTCCCACGCTGCCTTCAGGCCACAGTTCCCAAACCTGGCTGTACCCTAGAGTCATGTGCTAGTTTTTCTAAGCACTCAAGATCCCGAGGGCTCACCCCAGTTACAGAAATTGAACTTTCAGAGGCCGGGGCCTGGGATGTTCCATGTGGTTCTAATGCAAAGCCAGTTTGGGAGCCATGCTGTCCCACGAGGTAGATTTGAACTCTGTCAAATCTTACTTCAGGATTTCTGTCTTGCTGCTTCTTGCCTCCAGGTCTTTGGGCATAAATGTCCCTACTACCTGGAAATTCCTTCCACTTCAACTGGGCAATTCCTACCAGTCTCTCAAGATCAGCTCAGGTGTCATCTCTGGGACTAGAGGATGCCTTCCCTGAACCTCTACATAGGCTACTGGCCCTCCCTTTTCCATGCTCCCGGCAGAGTGCTAGCATACTGTATGGTTAGCAGCTCTTCTATGAGTTGCCTCCCCCAACTATTGAGCTCCTCAAAGGCAGGGTAAAGATTAGACACATGTTTATGTTCCTGGTGGGCAACACAGCAATTCCCAGTGAAATGCCCAGTTAAAGGTAAACATGGTCATGGAGTACTCTTCAACTCCCTAGACCAAGGCTACTAGGTCCAGGGTATAAGGGAGTCAACGTAGTGTCCTCTCAAAAGCCCTAGGGATGCTATTTGGATCCAGACACACTGTGGTATCAGCTCTCATTTGAACACAGCCTTCACTAAGCTCGTGTTGCTTTACAATGACAGGAGGCAGTGTGGCACAGTGGGAAAGCACTGGGCAAGCACAGAGATCCCTTCTGGTTGAAGTCTAGGTTCTGCCAACGAACCAACTGGGACCTAGGACAAAGCCTCTCACCTCTCTGATCCTCAGGACCTAAGTCCTCTGGAGCACTTGTGTCCCTATAGGCCAGGGCTTTAGTCCAAGGCATCTCATCTAATCCTTTCCACCCTGTGAGGTAAGAATTTGTTATCCAGATTATTATCCACACCTACTGAATTAGATTTCCAGGGGCGGGACCAGAGCAAGGAGCTCCACACCCTTTGGATGTGGGGGTGCAGCAGGAACAGCTGCTTTGCATTATAAGCCCTTCTGTACTATTTTACTTTCTAACCAGTGTATATATTGCTTTGATTTTTAAAAAAGGAAAAAGTTTCACAAGTGATTCTGGTGCACAGCCAAGACTGATAACCACCCTCACAGTAGAGAAAGCACAATACCAAATTGGGGGCCTGGGTTCAAATTCTTACTGTTATCTGGTAGCTGGGTCACTTCACCTTCCTAGGCCTCAGTTTCCTCCTCTATAAAGTGGGGAGAATAGCAATTGCTACCTTGAGAGGTCTATAATGATCTAGGTGCCAGCCAAATCACTTCAAACTTCCTCTTCCCTATACTGCAACAGAGTAGGGCACGTATTACCTCCCTTTCTAGGTGAGGAAACTGAGATTCAGGGAGGTGAGGTAATGAGCTCAAGTTTCTACAGCTAGGATTTGAACCAGGGTGACTCCCAAATTGTGTTCTTTCAGATATGCCAGTATTTCCCATACTACAGCACATGTACCACTGGTGGTATATGACTTCTTTGGTTGAACACAGACAAATTTATTTTGAGTTATGCCTTTTAATATGTATTAGAAAAATACATAATTAGCACATCAGACCCATGGTTTCACGGATATCACTACTTAGGATGAAACCGAAGTAGATAACAATGTTATACCTAAGACAACCTAAAAAAAAATACTGAGTAAATAGTACAGGAGGGCAATTTGGAAGTATCTATTCAAAACAAAAAAATAAATAGTCTATGACTCTGCAATTCAACTTCTAGGAAGCAACCCTAGGTAAACTCATATGCACATGTGCGCACACGCATACACACACAAGCACGCGCGCACACGCACACACAAATGTTCCTGTGTAGTATTTTATAATAGCAAAAAGAGAAAACAGTCTTATCTAGCTATCACAAAAGAAATGAGTACGATGTGGTACAGTCATATGATGGCACTCCATACAGCAATTACAAAGGCTGAATTCAATCTACATTTAGCCCAAACAACATGCATAGATCTCAAGAACACCATTAAACGAAGAAAGCAAACTGCAGAATGACTCAATATACCATTTGTATTAAATACACAATAATATTTTCAATGAACTCATATGTCAAAGTCTTAAAACTGTCTAGATGGATGTACAACAAACAACAGCAGTTTAGAGGGGGCCGGGCAATGGTAGCCAAACAAGGCTAGTTTACTTATAAATCTCATGTCTTAGAGAATGGATTCATGCATTACTTGAGTAGTTTAGAACGGTTTTACCTTTTAAAAAACAAGAATGTGATATACAATCAGGACAAGGTGATGGTTTGACAGTGTATGTGAACGAGCAAAGGCTGACCTCATGGCAGCAAGCTGTGCTGCCCCTGCACAGTCCCTGCAGCTGACACAGTTCCCAGAAGGAACCTGACACACATTCGGCCGGGATGTGGCCCAGGTTACCTCTCCCCTATTTCCTCACGACCCGGGTTGGGGCCCAGGCACCTGGTTACCATACATGATTGAAGCTTTAGGCTTCCTAGGCCCTTCACTTATCAGGCAAACACCATTGGTGCCCTGGAACTTTTTCAATAACCAGGGCATTTAGTGTTTCCCAGATCTGGAGGCTCCTTCTGTCCCCAACAACTGGGATCAGAGCCTTTAGGGGTCTAGGTATGTGAAAGTTTGTATTCTGAGGGGTCGGCACCTAGTGGGCTCCAAGCAGGGATAAGGCCCCAGTGAGGAGCTTGACATCATTAAATCCTATGAGGTAGGTAATATTGTTAGCCCCATTTTACAGATGAGGAAACTGAGGCACAGAAAGGTCAAATGACTTGCCCAACATCACACTAGTTAAGTGATTTTTTTTAAAAAAAGGACTAGAACCCACAAATGTCTGTCCCAAGAGCCCAGGCTCCACTCCTAGTACCCAACTAAATCCTATCAACTTGTCAAGGTTCAGCTCAAATGTGACCCTTCTCCAGGAAACCTGGAGGTGATCGTCCTCTTCTCAAATTCAAAGTACCTATAAATATGATTCAGCTGACCATGGGAAATCATGAACCCACTGCATCTCCTGAGTAGGATAGTAGAGATCATGTCTGATTCAGCTCAGTATTTCTAGAATAGAGCCTGACAAACAGAGGGTGCTCAATATATATGTCTGATGAATACACAAATGAATGAAAACACACAAGTGAATGAGGGCAATTCCATATGACTGATTCCTATGAGGTCCTGAACACCTTTGCCCAGCTCTGGGGTGCTGTCATACTAAGCTCTCTTAGAATCAAATGCAGCCTAGGCTCCTTCTAAAATGGGTCTCCAATATCTTTATTATTTTGCAAACACACCCATATGCACACATACAGACACATATATACACACATACATATCCACACACAAGCAAGATGCAAAGGGCCCAAGGGACCCATGATTATGGGTGAAGAGGGGAGGGAAGGTTTGGGAGAGGGGAAGGTGGGGAATGGACAGATGGCCCTGTTCAGCTCAGTTCAGCTCAGCACCTCCTTCCAAAGGCCAGGATGCTCCCTGAAGCTCAGGAATTTTTGCTCCAGACCTAACATCACCTCTGTTCCTCTTCGTGCTTGACAGCAGTGCCTAAATCCCATGACTATACCAAACAGGGACAGGAGGGAGGGGAAGGCTGGGAACCAAATATCCAGAGATTGGGAGAGGGGCAGCTTAGGGATCCAGACAGGGCAGGAGGGCAGAACTACTGCTACTGCTCATTAGGGTTGGGGTTGGCATCTGGGTACTTGGTGAGGTCGAAGGTCAGGACTTTGCTGATCACACAGTCCCCTTGCTGAAGGAGGAGGGAGAAAAAGAAAAATGAAATTGTAAGGAGAGAATTGGGGGGGGGTCTAGCGCCCCAGGACTGGGGGGCCTCAAACCCTCCTCCCTACATACCTGCCCAAAGCCCAGGCAATGGTTCTCTCTGGGTGTGAGAGGATGTGCTCGGTCCCATGTGCCTTCTCTCCCTGCCTACCTCTGCATTCTCCTTTTCTCTGCCGTCTGGCTGCCTCTGCCTGGCCTTTCCACCTGTCCCCAGACGCAATAGCCCTGCCCAGCTGGGCTGGCTAAGCCTCTAAGGCAGGGCTCCAACAAGCCCAGATAGCTGTTTAGGACCTGAATCCCTATGCTCCCCCACCCCCGTGGCCCTCCACTGCAGCCTTCCCTTCCTGCCCTGGGGAGTCAGGCAGGGAGTGGGGCTGGCTCCTGAGCCAGGCCCGCCCTACCTCGGGGTAGACTCCAATGAGGCTCTCAGCCTTGGTGTAGAACTCCTCCTTGAGAGAGATGACGATGGCCTGGAAGTTGCAAGTCGACTGCTCCTTGATGTAATTTGCCACCTGTGGGAGGGGCCGCCAGGCACTTAGCAGGGCTGAAGCCCTAACACTCCCTTGTGTTTTCCAGTCAGAACCAGAGTCAGAGGGGTGGGGTAAGGGGTGGAGGGTAGGGGGGAAGAGAGGCTAAGAGGCCACTGACTAGCACGGCGTGAATGAATGACCCTGAGCCCAGCCTCCCGGGCACAGAGAGCAGGCAGCAGGAACGGCTAGAGCATACTCAGGAGTTGCTCCCTGAAACCCAGCCCCAATCTAGGGGCTTCCCTCCCGGGCCCCACTTTCCTTGCACCCACCTTGCCAATGTTGGTGTTATCCAGGGCAGCATCGATCTCATCCAGGACGAAGAAGGGGGCTGGCTTGTAGCTGGGAGGGAACCAGTAGGTGAGCTGACACTGATGGGGGCAGTGGTGGGGCAGGGTAGCCCCAGGGCCCATCACACAGGCCAGCATCCCCCTCCACTTCTTCAGAGACTAAAAACACCCAGGTCTTAATGTTGCCTGAGCCCCCTAAAGGCCAGTTTACCAATTGAACCCTCCTCTGCATCCAACCTTGTGCTCCAGGATCCTTCAGAACCAGGAGAAGACACAGTTTTCTCCAGAGCTTCCAGACCAGCTAGGGAGATAAAGCTGTCCTGGCTCTGAACACACTGTCCAACCTACCTGGAGGTCTATCCCACCCACCTGCACCATGCTGTTGTGGCTCCCTGCCTCTTTGCACATGCGGCACCCTCTGCCTAGCACGACCACCCCCCCACCCGCCCCCAGTGTCTCAGCTCACGTCTACTCATCCTTTGCATTTCCTACTCAAGTGTTACCTGTCCTTCAAAGCCTTCCCTGGCCACCCACACCCTCCCTCAGACTGGGTTAGATGTTCCTTCTCCGTGCATCCACAGCACACGCACTCACCCGGCTATAACACTTAGCTCACTGTTTACACATCTGGCCTTCACTAGACCATGAGCTCCTCAAGGACAGAGACCATGTCTGACTCATCTGTGTCCCTAATCCCCCAACAGTCTGGTATAAAGCAGCCCTCAGAAATGCTTGCTGAATGATGCTGTATAATCAAGTATTAAGTTGTGGGGGTCAGATTCAAGTACTACTGGCATTCAGGAGGGGGAGGTCAGGGTATGCCACAGTTGGTCAAAGCAAGCTTCCTAGAGGAACAGAAGGAGGAAAATGAGATGTGAAGGCATGGTAGGTGATGGTCAAGCTAGATTTGCACAGAAAGGACTAATTAGCCAGCAACCATGTAAGCAAAAGCCTGGTGGTGGGACTGAAGACATGCAGGGGCCAGCGAGGGCATGCTGAATGGATGGGAAAGACAGGTCCAGGAAACCAAGGCCAGATGTGCTGTAGTAAGTAGGGAAATAGGGACGCAATCCAGATTCCACCAGAACATCTTCACCTCTGCAGATCTCTGCATGTCCTTGGACCCCAGAGCCTCTGGTGGCCTCAGTTCAGTCTCTCCACCAACTGCCCTGGGAGGGGCAGCCTTACCTGTGGATGGCAAAGAGCAAGGCCAGAGCCGCCACTGTTTTCTCCCCCCCTGACAAGTTGTCCATAGGCCGGAAGCGTTTGCCAGGAGCCACACAGTTGTAGTTGATGCCATCTAGGTAGGGCTCCTCAGGGTTCTCAGGGCCCAGGAATGCCTAGGGAAAAGGCAGACAGGTCAGAATCTGGGTCTGGATCTAGAGGAGGAGAGGGATAGGAAGCCTAAAGGAAAGGGCAACATGATGGTGGGGATTGGCTGGGTAAGGGATTCTGGCTTACCTGGGCACTGCTGTTGCGGGATAGGGCCTTGTAGATCTCATCAATGTTGGTGGCCACAGATTCAAAGCAAGCATTAAAGCGGTCAAAACGCTCCTTCTTGATCTGTTCGAATGCCTGCTTGGCTTTCTTGGCTCGCTTTCGGGCTGCCTCAAACTCTGCCACAAGAGAAAGACAGGTGACTCCTCAGTGCCCAGGTACCGCCAAGGCTGAGGACCATACCCTGGCAAGAATGGCCTGTAAATGACAATCCACAGAGCAGGGAATATCCCAAAGGGAGAGGGACATCTGGGGAGGGCCCCAGGAAAATGGCCCCATGACTGCTCATGACCACTGGGCTGGTCACTAGTACAAAAGAAGAAATTTGGGCTTGGAGCCACAGAAACATGAATTCTACCCTGGGCTCAACCAACAACTAGCTGTGCATCCTTGGGCAGGCCATTCACCCTCTCTGAATCTCAGCAGTATTCGACTCTATAAAAAACAGGTGTGGTAACTGACCCCTACTCTTTAGGGCTCTTGGGAGTTTCAAGAAAGCATGTAAAAACAAGAGTTGTTGTGATGTGTAACAATCCCTTGCTTCATAACTCCAGCCTTCTGTCTTCACCTTAGACCCAAGTAAAAGGGAAAAATCTTACCATCTGAGGTCTCCTGGAACTTGTCTCGGACACTTTCCAGCTTTTCCATGGCTTTCATGTTAGGGGCAGCAATACGCTGGAGTACACTCTGCTGCTCATTCAGCTTCTGCTGCAGTGTATTCATCTCCTGTTTGATCTCCTCCTCAGCCTGGGCATCCTGTAAACCCCAGGCCCAACGACATCAAGAAGGGCCAGGCCCCCGAGCCTAGACCCCCACAAGAGATGCTCCACCAAGCAGGGCCTGAGCATTTGCTCCCATGCAGAAGGCAGGTTCTTCCTTAGCTTGGTTCTGTCCACCAGGTCCCACCTCCAGTAAGCATTCCCACCACCCCTGGAAATTACAGACTGATACCACTTTCTCATCTCTAGCCCTACCCCCAGGCCCTGTCAATCTCTCTGTCTCTCAGGAGGAGCAGCTGATGGTACCCCTCTCTGGCTCTCAGCCCAGGCCATGAGCCAGCGCCATCCCAGGGTGACCTAAAGGCCCCCACACAGGCTGGTCTGGACTCTGCCTACAGCACCATAATGAATAAGGCAACTCACGTTTTCTGCTCAGATCACCACATCTGAGCAAATTCCATTTGAGTTTGGTTTCAGGTCTATGGATATTACAATACATGTCCGGGCTTGTGCCTTTCTGCCACTTTTAGTCAATAAATATTTACTGAATGCCCTCCAAATGCCAGGCATTGGGGCCCTCATATCCTGCGAGCCATGGTTCCTGTGCTCACAGAGCTCATGGACTAACAGAGGAAGGCATATACATAAATAATCAGAACACTGTACACTGAATACCAAAACAATGATAAATAAATGGTGTTGGGTGAGCACAGAAGAAGGGCACCTAACTCAGACCTGGGCTATGGAAGGCTCCCAGGAATATGTTTCAGCTCAGGCTTACAGGATGAGTAGTGAGGACAGAGAGAAGGAACTGTCTATGCAGAGAGGAGTATTACACGCAAAATCAAGGATTTGCTCATGGTCCATTCAAGGAAATCAAAGCAATTCCAAAGAGCAATCAATTTTAATATATTTCAAAGCCAAAAAAAGGGGCAATTCAGTATGGCAATAATAGCACTTATGTGTGTGCACGTGCACATGCTGGGGGAAGAGGCATGGCTGGAAACATGTGCAGAAGCCCAATGATAAACGGCCTTTCAAGTCTCGTAAGAGGTTTGGATTTTATCCCAAGGGCAATGAGGTACCATTGAATGACTTCAAGTATAGGAAGGACATGAATATGCACAAATGTATACATAAATATATACATCTTAGAAAAGCCCTTCTACAAATCTCTATATACTTCTTCTACTTCTACTTCTACTAATCTCTATGAAGTGATCTCTTGGATATGTTGTAAGTGAAATGAAAGCTACACAACAGAATGTTATTTTTTTTTAATCTAAGAGAAGGAATATATTTATAGACAAATATATTTTTATTTTTAAAATACAACAAAAGGATAATCCAAAAATGAATTAAAATGATTACACATTGAGTAAGGGAGGCGGAGGGGACACGAAAGCAAGCAAAACATCTCTTCATGTACCTTGTATTATACTTTTGGTTTTAAAACCAATGGAGATTTTACAGAATTATAAAAAATAAATAAATCAAAATGTGAAAAACACAGGGCAAAAAAATTGTTGGAAACAAAATATTCACAAAATACCAAAGAATCACCCTAAAGATTACTTATTACTTGCAAAGGTAAGAAATCTGGCAATTGATACCTTAAATGAGGATTAAACTTAACATCATGAGTAGCGGAACATCCTCACATTACATACCTCCTGGCATGATCCAAAAGACAGTACACAGCATCACCAATGAAATGCTCTGGCCAAAAAATTACTTAACCCAAATCCATCAAGCCTGAGACTATATCAAACTTCCAGATTTATAGGAAACAGGGTAGGTAGAACAAATTAAGCAATAACGAAAGGAAACAAATATATCCATAACATATCCACCATTCAAGACAGCATGTAGACTCTTCAAAAGATCAGTGTCATGAAAAAGGTGAGGGGCTGCTCCACATCAAAAGAAACTAAAAAAACACCCAAAAGCAATAAAACAATTATAAAAAATGATTTTAGGACAAGGAAATGTGAGTATGGGCAGGATAGTCAATATGAAATTATTAATTTTCTCAGGTGTAATATGGAATTGCAGTTATAGAACAGAATGCCTTGTTCTTAGCATCCTAAGTATTTATAGAGTTGAAGTCTGCAGCTTCCTTTACATGGTTCAGCAAAAACAAAAAATGTGTAGTGTGGAGGGAGGGAATCAAGAGAGATGAATAGAGGGAAAAAAAACCTGGAAAAATATTTATTGGTGAATCTAAGGTGAAAGGCAAATGGGTGTTTACTGTTCTTTCAATTTTTCTGTAGGTTTGAAATTTTTCAAAATAAAGTTGAAAAAAATAAATCAAAATGCAAATTAAGCAACCCTCTTAAAAATGGAAAACTAAACAAAGAAACATGACAATAGATTAATAAGCTGGTTAAACACTAAGAGAATTCTTTCAAGTTACTTTAAAATAGAGGAACATGGCCATACATGCTCAATAAGCTATTAGCTTAACAGCAGAAAGGACCTCAAGGAAATCTTCAATAGCATTCAATAATCAAATTGTTACTAATAACACCTCATTGTGATTTTCTTTTTTTTTTTAGATTTTATTTATTCATGAGAGACAGAGAGAAAGAGAAAGAGAAAGAGAGAGAGAGAGAGAGAGAGAGAGAGAGAGAGAGAGAAGCAGGCTCCATACAGGGAGCCTGACGTGGGACTCGATCCTGGGTCTCCAGGATCACGCCCTGGGCCAAAGGCAGGTGCTAAACCGCTAAGCCACTCAGGGATCCCTCATTGTGATTTTCAAACTATTATACGCGGAATAGGATAAATATATTATTATGTTAGTGTTGTTAGGAACCAAGATTTTCAGCAAGAATAATCGGGGAGACTCAAACATAAAATCAATGATGTTAAACTGTGAAAATTATAATTTTAATTGAAGTATCAAATGAGCTCACAACACATTTTTCCTTCAAAATAAAAAATGCCTCTTGTAGCCCAGTCTACTGAAACATTCTAGAAGCACTGAGCAACCCAGCAGTCATGAGCACTCCGATTTTCAGATGGTAGTCACTAAGCAGTATTTCCCACTACAAGTTAGAGCTTCTCAGAGAGAAATGGCTAATGCCAGATCTTGGGAAATGTAAAGGATGAGCCTGGACATACCAGAAAGCAGGGAAAACATAAGACTGTAAGAGTTGTGTCAAAATGATTCACCAGCCAACTTGAATGGGTTCCCCACTGGCCAAAGATGCAAACAACTTGATCAACAAGAATAACAACCACAACAAAATTCAACACATCTAATATGTTTAAATCCTTAAGTGCAAAATGATACAAAAAAAACCTCAGTGAACAAATCTTGAGAAAGTCAGAGAACCAACTCATTTTTTTTTTATCAACTAGTAAGTAAAAGAATACATTCTGCTTTTACTATACAAACTGTACCTCAGGGTAACCAAATAACTGATAGGAGGAAATCTCTCTTTACAGTATTCCAGCTAATAAAGAGAAAATTATTTCATCTTGCAACCACAGACAAATTAATGAATCTAGGCAATAACCACCACAGCTGCAAACCACACAAAAAGAACTACAACCAGATATCACCAACCTCCTGATGGATGTTAACAATGTCACTTAGGAGGTAGTCTTAACCAAAACAAACCCCCAAACTTGAATTTAATCAAGTCTCTAGATCTGAGCTGTCCAATATGATAGCCATAAGCCCACACGTGACTACTGATTTTTTAAAATATTTTATTTATTTATTCATTCATTCATTCATTCATTCATTCATTCATTCATGAGAGACACACAGAGAGAGGCAGAGAGACATAGGCAGAAGGAGAAGCAGGCTCCCTGGAAGGAGCCTGATGTGGGACTTGGTCCCAGGACCTCGGGATCATGCCCTGAGCCGAAAGCAGACGTCTGCTCAAGTGCTGAGCCACCCAGGTGGTGTCCCATGGCTACTGATTTTAATGATCATTGACTGACTTAAAAACTGATATTCAACTTAGTTACTAGAAAACTTTTATCTGAAACAAACTTGGTTATGTGGTTCTCTTTTTTTCAATTGTACAGTTTAAGATAGCTAAATACAAACAAATCTAAATATAAATCAAATCTATCTGAGGAAAATATAGCATCCAAATTGAGATTGCTGGAAACATAAATAGATACTCTGTACTTTGAAGACTTAGTACAAAGAGACTGTCAAATATCTCATCAATAATTTTTATGCTGTTTACACATTGAAATTGTTTTTGAGTATACTGGATTAGGCAAAAATACAGTACTAAAATGAATTTTACTTTTTAGTAGGTCATGTGGCTCATATTATATCTCTAACAGCACTGATCTAGCTACCCACTTAAAGGAACTACAGGGGATACAAGAACTATTTTTTTTTTTTTGCTTTGTTCTGGGGGAACATAAAAAAAATTATAGGATACAGGGGCACCTGGGTGGTTCAGCTGGTTGAGTGTCTGACTCTTGGTTTCAGTTCAGGTCACGGTCTCAGAGTCATAGAATCGAGCCCCACACTGTGGGCTCTGCACTCAGGGCCGAGTCTGCTTGTCTTCTCCCTTCCCGTCTGTCCCTCTTAGTGTTCAAGAGCATGCACGTACTCTCTCTCTTAAATAATCTTTAAAAAAAAAATCATAGGATACAATCAACAAAGTACAGAATGCAGAAAATCCTCTAGGAGAAATGAGCCAATTTCTTCAAAAACAAAAAAATACTGCAAAGAAAAATATAAACTGATGGAAGGGCATCCTATCCCCCTTAACATCCTAAGACCCCTAGTGGCTATCTAAAACTATAGACAGTGCCAAATGCTACATATCATGTTTTTTCCTATACATATATGCCTACAATAAAGCTTAATTTATAAATTAGGCACCATAAAAGGTTAACAGCAATAATACAATAGAACAATTATAACAATACACTGTAATAAAAGTTACATGAATGGTCTCACTCTCAAACTATCTTATTGTACTGTACTCACCCTTCTTGTGATGTGAGATGATAAAAAAATGCCCACATGATGAGATGAAGTAAGGTGAATGACGTAGGCACTGTGACATAGCACTAGGTTACTATTGACCTTCTAACTATAGGTCAGGAGGATCATGTTTCCAGATTGCAGTTGACCGTGGGGAATGAAACCACGGAAAGGCATGCACAAGGGGGGACTACTGTAGATTAAATGAGACTTAAAGAGATATATCAGCCAATCACTCTATCAGTCACCTATCTATCTATGTCTGTCATCTTATTTGACTCTCAGTGCAAGCAAGCAAACTGTGTGTGTGCAGGACAATTTGGCAAATGTGAATACTAATCATAATACAAATAATAAGGAATTATTTTATAAAACTCCAATATTAAGGAATTATTGGGTTTTTTATATGATAATGAGTCTAAATGTTTTAAAGAATTATCTCTTTTAGAGATACATTCTGAAATATTTACAAATGAAATGGCATGATGTCCACAATTTGCAGCTGACCCCTGAATAAGGGGGTTGGGGTGTTGGCCCCTTACACAGCCCAAAATCCACTTATATACTAATTTATGACTCTCCAAAAAAATGTAATTACTAATAGCCTATTGTTGACTGGAAGCATTACCAATAACATAAACAGTGATTAACACATACTGTAAAGTAAGCTGGTGAAAAGAAAATGTTATTAAAATCTATTTAAAGTACTGTATTTATTGAAAGCAATCTATGTATAAGTGGACCGCACAGTTCACACTCATGTTGTTCAAGGGTTGACTGTATTTTTAAATAATACAAGGGTGAGAAGAGAGGAGGAAGAGGATGGGGTGCACATAAAATAAGTTTGGCCATGAGTTGATAACTGCTGAAACTGATGATGGCTACACGAGATAGCACTGTGCTATTTTACTTTTGTGTGTGAAATTTTCCATAATAAAAATCTAAAAATAATAACAAAAATCAACTTGAAGTGGCTCCTATTGGACAAGGATGGGACCATATGAACATCAAGAAGAAAAATGACTCCAGTAGACAAACATCAAAGTAGATTTAATATGTTAAATTCACAATACATACAAATGAAAAACCTCACTGGTCACCTTCAAAGATTATAAGGGCAACCGCCTCATTCTGAAAGATGATAAATAAAGGAAAAGAATGAAGCATTTATCCTACCTTTTCTGTACTGGCTGTACTTCAAAGGAACTAAATGGTTGATATGAGACAATTCTTTTTAGAATTCCAATAAATAAATGGAGGAGGAATGGAAGAATTAGGAAATTACCATTTTGCAACCCTTAATAGAGCTAGGCAATGATGATTAAGAGCTGCTAAAACTGAGGTGCCTGGGTGGCTGTCAGTTAAGTGTCAGGACTCTTGATTTTGGCTCAGGTCATGATCCCATGGTCCTGAGATGGAGCCCCACATAGGTCTCTGCACTTAGCGGGGAGTCTGCTTGGATTCTCTCTCTCCCTTTCCCTCTGCCCTTTCCCCCATGGGCGCAGGTATGCAGGCATGTGCTCTCTCTTTCTCAAATAAATAAAAATCTTTCTTAAAAAAAAAAAAAAAGCTGCTAAAACCAACTTCTGAAAAGCTGACAGGGAACTTTATAAAAAAACATGGGCTAACAACACCTGAACCTGATGATCATGATTATTTTTCTCTTAACTTTATATTATATAAATTTTTAACATACACACAAAAATGTAGAGAATAATATAATGCACCCCCTATGTACCTATTACCCAGCTTCAAAAATCATCAACTCATGGCCAATACTCTGCCATCTATACCCAATTCCTTTTTATCTTCAATTATTCTAAGGCGAATCTCAGACACACGACTTCCACTTCACCTATAAATACTTCAGTATGTATCTCTAAAATGCTTTCTGAATCTCAGCACTATTGACATTTTGGGCCAGATGATTCACTGTTGTGAGGGCTGTCCTTTGTGCACTGTAAGATGTTTAGCAGCATCCCTTGCATCTACCTACTAGACACCGTCAGTAACCAATTATGAAAAGTGGGTGTCACAAGTGTCTCCAGACATTACCATATGTCCCCTGGGGAAGTAAAATCCATACACCATTGAGAACCACTGTTATAAAACATAAGGACACTTAAAAAAATTAAGCCATAATACCATCATCTCACCTAAAAATATATTTTTTTCACCTAAAAATATTAACAGCAATTTCTGAACATGATAAATTATCTGGTCAGTGTTCAAATTATCCTGATTGTTTTATTAAAAAAAAATTTTACAGGATTTTCAAAGCAGGTTTCAAATAAGGTACACACTGCAATTGGCTGGTCTATCTCTTAAGTCTCATTTAACCTATAAATTCCCCTTCTCTCTGCAATGGATTCAAGGAAATCCCACATATTCCAATTGGTTGATTTGTCTCTTATATGCCAATAAAAAAATCTGCCCCTCTGTTTATTTTCTTTCTTCTTGTTTATCCTTGGGAGGGACCAGGTCTATGGTTTCCCATAGTCCAGATTTAGAACTGCATCCCTGTGTTTTTATTTAACATGATTCTCTTGCACTAGTGTTTCATATAATTGGTGGATATAAAAGCTTGATCAGATCCTTGAGTTTTTGACGAGACTATTTCACAGGTAATGTCGAACACTGACCAAACTTATTACAAAGATAGAAATGACATTCAATGTCAACTGATGTGACGCAAAAGAAAGTTCACAAGTAGCACCACCTATGACATATATTCCTGCCAAAAATAAAAAAATGAACTACATCCAATCAAACCCTAGATTTAAGTACCAGTTTACAGGAAATACAGGGAATGGAAAAACACATTAAGTAACATCATAGGACATAATCAGCCAAATTCAGAATGTAGAAAATTGTACAGGACCAATGACCTAGTTTCTTCCATAAATAGGTAGAAAAAAATAAAAAGGGATAAGAAAATGGTACAGACTAGAAGAGACCACTTTTAACATATGAACCTCACTTGAATCCTGATTTAAATATACAGACTGTGTTTTCTTTTTTTTAAAAGGTATTTATGGGATATTCATGCAAATCTAAACATTTACTGAAATTAGATGGTATTGCAATTAGTCTTAAAATTTTTTTGGTAGGATACTGTGGTTGTTTTTTAAAATGTCCTTTCTAAAGATATATGTTGAAGTAATTATGAATGAAATGTTACCTGGAATTTGATTTAAAATATGCCAACAGGGAAGGAAAGGGTATAAAAAACAAGATACCATATGTTGCTAATTGTTGAAGCTAGATGACAGGTACTGGGGTCCATTATATGATTCTATTTCCGTATATGTTTGAAATTTTCCACAATAAAGATTTCTTTAAAAAAAAAATCAAGTCCCCCTGGCTATAGTGATGGATGGAAAAGCATGAGGAACTGTTTAGGAGGCTCCTGCAGTAGGCCATGTGAGAGGTGAAGTGGCCTATACCATAAAGACAGTTTGAAACCGAAAAAAAAGCAGAATTCAATGGTATTTAGGAGGTAAAATGGATAGGGCTTGGTAATTCAATGAATATGCCAAGTGAGAGAGGGAATTGAAGATGAGGCTCAGACTTCTGGTTTGAACCTGTGTCTGGCACCAAGGAGTGAAGGCAGGTTTGGGGAGGAAGGCTGGGGTTGGAGGTACCTGTGGAGCACAGCACACATGGCAGCTGAGGCCAGGGGACTAAAAGAGATACCCAGAATGAGAGAGAATGAGAGAATGCCAAAAGTGAGAAGGAAAGAGTACCTAGGACAGATCACGGAGGAACATCTAAGGCCTATCTGTTTGCTATAAAGGAGCATGTCCTTCGTGTGTGCATCTGGGATGAATGCACGTGCATGGAAGGGGAAGAGTGGCAGCAGGCAGGGACCAGGGGTAACTGAGGGTGGTGGTGGGAGATGTGCCTGTGTCTGTGTGTGCATAGCTGGGGGAAGACCCTATATCACAACTCCCTTCCTCTCGCCAGCTTGCCCCTCTTTCCAGCCGTGGTCTCCACGATGGGGCCCCCAGGTGGGCTGACTCTCCCTCTGAACAGCTGGGAAGACGTGGCCACCCCCGTGGCAGATCCTCACCTTCAGATCTTCACACAGGTCACCGTAGTCAATCTCGATGAGGGCCTCTCGTGCATAGATGCTGGAAGTTCGCTGGGAACCACTCACTGAATCCTCCCCCTGAGAGCTACCCTGTAATGGTGAGGAGAGTCCAATGGAGCATGCTGGCTGTGAGAATGTCCTCTAAAGGGGGCACATGGGGGACGGAGGGCTCCTCTATAGCTTTCAAAGTCTTTGAGAAGCACCTTGCTAGAGAGAAACTATGGCAGAAGAGCAGTTCTGAAGTCACAAAGACCTCAGCTCAAAATTGGGCTCTGCCGCTGACTAACAGTGTGATCCTGGGCAAGTCATGCTGTCAGATCCTGACACCTGAATCCTGATTTAAACACACACACCCTCAACTGTAACAAGGCATACTGCCTGCCTGGCAGGGTTGTGTTTAGGATGAGGAGTAATTATGTCATGTTACCCTGGTGCCTGGCACATTTTTGGTGTTCAAAATATTTTTGCTGAATTAAACTGAAATGCATTTGGGAAGAGGGAGGGAGAAAGATACGTGGGGCCGAGATACACGCTCAGGTCCAAGACAGATATGTACACTAACCTTCTCTCAGTTAATGTTCCCACCAATCTTCACTTTCAGGACATGAAATGCTTTGGCTCCTCTATTGGCCAGTGTCTCTCCCTTTCCTATGACTAAGCCTTATCACCACTGCATTGCTAATGTCCCTTACCCAACCCTCTCCTGGCCAACCTCCCTCACTGCAGCTAGGCCATCATCTGTCAGGTCCCCTAGCTTCTGTCTTCCTTTGCTCTTGGCTAATGTCCCTCAATTGCCACTCTTAGCACTATCCAACACCTACCGGAGCTAACTTTTTTTAGCTCAAGTCCCTAAGGTTACAGAATGATTTCATCTTCTCCTGCCTTCCCTCCCTCACCACCTACTGACATCCGGCATTACCCCCCACTCAACTTCCCTTTCACACCAAAGCTATTACCTTCCCCCTACCTGCCTTCATAGCCTCATCCTGGCTTATCTCCCCTGCATCCCTCCTTAGTGCTCCCCATCACCCCTGCCCACCATCCTTTCCTCTCCTTCTCCCCATCCACTTTTATCCCCCACCTCTGGGTAATGTTGTCCACTGCCCACTCCTACAGCCTGCCCTGATACTCACCTCTTCCTGACTAATGTCATCCATAGTGCCCTTAGACAGTGGCAACTTGATGTCCTGCATCTTGCAGGCCTGCAGCAGGTTGTGGCGGTCACTGCGTTTCTGTTCCAGCTTGGTCTCAATGGCTGTCACCTCCTTCTGTAAATGGGTCATTTCCCTAAAAAGTCCAGATAAAGAGGTAAGATCCAAATCCAGCAGGCTGCCTGCTCTACCTAGTTCCCCCAACCCCAGGCCTGAACCCACTCACTTGTTGGCGCCCCCCAGTTTCTTACGAATCTCCTCCATCTCATGATTCTTGTCATTCACCTCCGACTTCTTGGCCAGGTGCTGATTCTTCAGGTCTTGCAGCTGGGCCATGGTCTCATCTATGATCTTCATGTGTCTTTGCTCCTCCTGGTCCCAGCAGGGGGAACAGGACAAGAAGTGAACGCTCTCCTCATCTCCTCTTGGGATCTTCTCCCCTTGCCCCAACCCTTTCCCCCAGGCAAAAGGAGGTTCCAGGTGTATCAAAGCCTCTCTTCAGGAAGCTCTGCTTTCACATACCACCATCACCCTTTAGGCATCTTTCTTTCTTTTTTTTTTTTAATTTGGTTGCCCTCCCCCACACACCCCAATACACAAATTGCCTAATGTAGAAAAGTTCAAAGTATTGAAACAGCATCAAGTAGGAGAAAAAAAAAAATCACTCTTACTCCCATCAGCTAGAGACCAATTAATGTGTTAGCCTATTTCTTCCTAACACTACTTATAGATAGGTCTACAAAGTGGAGACTAGATTGTAATTAAAACCCTATATTCTAACAACATTAGAATATATTTGACCACCTTTTCCACATCAAAATTACTGTCACAGGCAATATAACATGAATTTTTCTTTTAAAAAAATCCACACAAACAATACTATTTATTTTCTATGAGTACACCTACATAAATGCACAAGTATTTAAATGCCTGCAAGGTCTGGAAGAATACCCACTACGTGGGATTAGCTCCAGGGAGAGGAAAGGGAGTGACACTGAGAGTGGTCAGTCAAGGGGATCGTAGTCTTACTTAACAGATCTGATTTTGAGATTTTGAGACAGTAAGCGAGCGAAAGAGAGCGAGAGCGCACGAGCAGGGGCAGAGGGAGAGGGAGAAGCAGACTTCCCTGCTGAGCAGAAAGCCAGATGTGAGGCTTGACCCCTGTAACCGGGGATCACACCCCAAGCCGAAGGCAGATGCTTATCCAACTGAGCCACCCAGGCACCCTTAGATCTGATTGTTTAAACGAAGAAAGTTTGGTTTTCATTTTGATCTTCAAGTCACATAAAGGGAACCTATCTGCCACTTCCTCCCAAACTGCCCATAAAAATAATATGCAGGCACAGACAATGCAGAAGCAAATATGGCATGCTAGTGATTGATGAATCTTGGTGACAGGTAGGTGGGAGTTCTTTGTAATATGTAATAGTCTCATCACTTCTAAGTTTCAAATGATCCCAAAATAAAAAGTCAGTCATAGAAATATGATTCTGGATCACCTAGATGTCCACTTACTCCTACCTGATCTGCATTTGCATTTAAGATTCAGGTGACACCAAAGAGGACTATTTTCATTATCAGGGTTTAATGAAAACACACATATACACACACAGCCCCCACCAACAACAAACATCGGCAAACATAAAAAGTCTAAATGGTATGTTTAAGCCAAGTGAGGAGGATCAAATTCTCTCTCTCTCACACACCCCCCCCCACTACCAAACATCGGCAGACATAAAAAATCAAAATGGTATGTTTAAGCCAAGTGAGGAGGATCAAATCACCTCAGGAGGGGATGCTATGAGAGGAACAAATGTTTCACAGGAATTTAAAGAGAAGGAATGTGGGAAAAGTAAATCGTCAGACAATACCCAGTGACTCAGGCATGCTCGACTCGAACTGAGCCGGGGCAGTCAGCAGCACAGGTGCAATGTGAAAAAGCGACTCGGTTTCAGCAAAACACCATCACCTGTTGTACTAAATTAATGTGATTAATTATACAAATTAATTTGTAAGTTCTGGCTTTTTGGTGAAGTGCTCTAAGTATGCATGTCTGTATATATTTAACATCAAGGATTTTTTAAGTCAACACTAAAGATCTTAGCTATTTAAATGGAGTCCGTATATTACTAAAATTTGAAGACCACTAAACTATGCAAATACATGTATGAATATAGCATAATTTGCTAAACTCCTAATTCCCAGAGGACACTGGAGAGTTTTCAATATGGAACTATAAATGTTTGTAATAAACATCAACCTCTGTGCACAAGGCTGTGCCTGCATTTTGGATTTCCTCAGGTGTTACTAAGTGGGGATAAGTATATTCCAAAGATTCTTGATGGATGGTGCCATATGGCAAAAGAATGCTGGTCTTTTGCACCGTGACCAGTATTAATCATTTGGCTTCTTTTTTTTGGGGGGGAGGGGGCTTTTTTTTAAGATCTTGGGTAATGTGATAGGAAGCAAATTACATCTGATTGTTGCTTTCATTTGCATTTCTTTGACTTCTAATAAGGCTAAATTATGTGTATATGTTTCCGGGCTATTTGAATCATCTTGAACCGTTTGTGCTTCTTACTCGTTCTTTTTTTTTTTTTTTTTTTCCTATTTAGGTCTTGGTGTTTTCTTATTTCAACAGGGCTTTATAAATTATGGATATTACCCTTCTATCATATCTCTTCCAAGTTTTCCTCCCAGTTTTTAGTATGTCTTTTCTTGCTCTCCTTCCTTACCTTCTTGAGCTTTTCTATCTCATTTTCATCCTTTTTCACTGTCTGCTCCCACATGTGTACTTTATCCTGGTCTTCTTTCAGTTGGTTCTTTTCAAAATCCAACTGGATGCCCAAGCGAGTCTTCTGATTCTCAAATTCCAAACTGCAGGGAGAAAGGAGAACTAGGTCCAGGACACAGGGACTACTGGATTTCAATCACCACTCAGGTCATCCCCTCATATCCACATAAAACTGTTCCCTGAAGTTGGAGAACTAAGTCCCTCAGCCTAGCCTGTGGATATGGCACAAGGCAGGGGAGATCCAGCCAAACTCCACGAATCCCCCTTTATACACTAGAAGACTCCAGAGCCCTCCCAAGTTCCTCGGAGGCACAAAAAGGTCCACCTGAACCCACTAGCTATAATTCTTACTTATTAAGTTTCTGTGTACTTGACATAATTACCTCCAATCCTCTAATTAATAGCTCCACAAGTAAGCATTATTTTTTTTTTACAAGTAAGCATTATTATCCTAATTTTACAAATGAGGAAATAAGGGCCAAGAGGTAAAAGACCTTGCTTAAGGCCACACAGCTAGTAAATGGCACATGTGAGCTTTGAAGCCAGGTCTAACACCAAAACCCAGGCTCCTTTTTCTAAGGCACCACCGCAATATAATGTGGTAGGAAAACAGGTCTGGCTTCCAAACTCTGCCATTTACTAGTAGTATAACTTCAGGCAAGTCAGTTATACTCTCCATGCCTCTGTCTCTTTATGTATAAAATGCAAATAATGATGGTACTTACTTCACAGTTATTAGATTTTTTTAATGAATTAATATGCATCAAGTCCTTAGAAGCATGTTGGACACACAGTAAATACTTAATAAAATTTTTTAAAAAGATTTTATTTATTGGGGATCCCTGGGTGGCTCAGCAGTTTAGCGCCTGCCTTCGGCCCAGGGCGTGATCCTGGAGTCCTGGAATTGAGTACATCAGGCTCCCTGCATGGAGCCTGCTTCTCCCTCTGCCTGTGTCTCTGCCTCTTTCTCTCTCTGTGTCTCTCTCATATCCACAAAAATCCATAAATCTTAAAATAAGATTTATTCATGCTAAGAGCTGGACATAGGACTCTTTCCTGGGACTCCGGGATCACGCCCCAAGCCAAAGGCAGATGCTTAACTGCTGAGCCACCCAGGCATCCCAAAACTTAATATATTTTTGTTATCATCAGTATTGACAGGAATACTGGCTGCATTCAGCTCATATTTGCTCACAGACTTTGGCTCTTTCCAACTACCCCCCCCCCCCCCCCCGCGCAACACACACACACACCTTCCCAGAACCTTCAAGGAACATGGAGAAAATACTAGATTCCTGCCATTGCCCTGCCCCCTGTCTCTTCAGAAACTCAGAGTATGTAACCAGCAGCCAGATACTAGCAGGCCAGGCAGGGCTAATTTCCAACTGCCTCCCCACTCCCCCAATATGGTGTGACAGATGCTGCCAGATGTCACACTAGCAGCTTAAACCTATTAGTCACTATAATCCAAATGGAATGTAATTAACTCTATAATTTTGAGCTATGCAATTTTAAGCCCAATCTCCTAAGCATGACTCATAAAGCCCTCTGTGATCTGGCCCCTGCTGACCTGTCCACCACTCCCACCTCCTTCCTGACGCCATTTTTATGCTCCAGACATTCAAAACTACTTAGTTTCCAGTACAAGGCACACTCTCTCACACCTCTGAGCATGCTGTTCTCACTGCCTGGAACTTCCTTCTATCTGCTGCCCAGCTGGCTAAGTCCTACTCACTCTATAGGCATCTATTTCGTCACTCCTTGTCCTGTAAAAGCTTTCCTAACAGTTGTGAGCAGGTTCTTCATTTCTATTACACTTTTCTGGGTTTTCTCTCTTTTCTGGTGCAGTTAATTATATCCTACAGTTCATAAACATGTTGATGTTCGCCATCTATGCAAGACCCGTGTCTCCTTTGGCTCAATCCATCCCTGATTTCCACTACCATTATCTTCCCTACGGTGAGCATGCATTCCAAAGTGACGTACGTGTATACAAACATACATATATAGCCTTAAAAATGCATATTCTTGAGAAATATCCTGGTTTTTATATTTACACAAACGCATGATGCTATTAATCTATCCATGTTACTGCCTATAAATCCAGTCCTTGCTATACAGGATTGCATAGTCTGTATATTCATAACACTTAACTTATATTTCCCCCAAGTGATGGCTGTTTACATTGCCACCAATGTCCTACACCACAAATGATGCCAAGATACACAACCCTCAATGTGTTTCTTTGTGACCCTGTGGTAAGACTCTCTCTCTCTCATATATATTCAGGAGTGGCTTTGCTGTGTCATAGAGCTTATGTAGACTTATTTTCACCAAATACTGCTAGACTGTTTTAATTTGCATTTCTGATTAAGAACAAGACTGAACATCAATTTGTAGTTATTAGACACATGCATGCTTCTCTTTCTATGAAATGCTAACTACATCCTTTGTCCTTTTCTCTACTGGGTCTCTCTCTTTTTTTTTAAGATTTTATTTATTTATTCACGAGAGACAGAGAGAGAGAGAGAGAGGCAGAGACACAGGCAGAGGGAGAAGCAGGCTCCACGCAGGAAGCCTGACATGGGACTTGATCCCAGGTCTCCAGGATCACGCCCTGGGCTGAAGGTGGCGCTAAACCGCTTAGCCACCCAGGCTGCCGGGGTCTCTTGTTTTTACTGTTCCTCTTGATTTGCAGTTCTTGGAACATTTCTTCTGTATTTTCTATGTACCTCAAGTACAGCATCAATGGCACTGTTCTGAAATTGTTGATCTAATTGCTTCCCCAATTATTTCATAACTCCTTGAGGTCAGGGACAGGTCAGGATGATTCATTCTATATCCCTTGAGCCTGGCTTAGGGGTAGGAGGGCAATGAAACGTTTATTTATATGGGCCATGGGCTATATGAACTGCAGACTGGGCCCAGGGGGTGACCTCTTTCAGAGACTGTGTCATGTTCGTCTGTCTTACCCCCGATCCCCCCACCAATAACTACCACAGGACCACTTGGTACAACAGAGGCACTCAAGGAAAGTTTGTTAAATGAGCAAATAAACTAAAGAGAAGAGAAGAGAAACCGTTTTGTTTTGCTCTTATTACTTTTCCAATCTAGAACTTCATTCTTCCCTGACCCCTCCTCATTGCCTATCAAGAAATGACAGTAATAAAAGCTAGCATTTAGTATTCTTAGTAGGCGCTAAGTATTATACTAAATACTTTAGAAGGATTAGTTCATCTGACGTGCCCAATAATGCCATGATATAGGCATTGAAATTAACCCACTTTACAGATAATGAAACTGGGGCTGAGAGAGAGCGAGAGACAGAGAGAGAGAGGTTGAGTCACTGCCCAAGATAAAAAGTTGTGGAGCTAGGATTCTAACCCAGGTAAACCACATTTAAAGCTGACCCTCGGGATCCCTGGGTGGCGCAGCGGTTTAGCGCCTGCCTTTGGGCCAGGGCACGATCCTGGAGACCCGAGATCGAATCCCACATCGGGCTCCCGGTGCATGGAGCCTGCTTCTCCCTCTGCCTATGTCTCTGCCTCTCTCTCTCTCTCTCTCTCTGTGTGTGTGACAATAAACAAACAAACAAACAAACAAACAAACAAATAAATAAAAAAGCTGGTCCTCTTGGGATGCCCGGGTGGCTCAGTGGTTGAGCATCTGCCTTGGGCTTAGGGCGTGATCCCAGGATCCAGGGATCAAGTCCCACATGGGGCTCCCTGTGGGGAGCCTGCTTCTCCCTATGCCTATGTCTCTGCCCCTCTGTGTCTCTTATGAATAAATAAATAAAATCTTTAAAAATAAAGCTGGTCCTCTTAACCACAAGACTATGCCACACTGCCTCCCCGACATCCCTGTTCTTTAAAGCTGACCTACAACAAACACCCATCATTCTAAGAGCTCCTTCCTGTCTTATGATAGCATGCAATTTCCCAGGATATCTGGGCTGGGGGTTCGAGGGCACCCTCATGTCCTCTTGGACCCACACTTCCACCTACCGCTTCTTGGCAATTTCGTTCTGCCGCTTCACCTTCTCTTCCTCAAACTCCCGGATGTTGCGCACACCAATCTCCCGACAAAACTCTTCAAACACCTCATCTTCTACCTGAGGGGAAAAGCGAGGAAGGGCAAAGGCCCCCTGGGTCAGAGTGCTGCTGCCAGCCCCAGTCACGCCCCACTGCACACATTGGCATGGCTTGTCCCCTACCAACCTGGTTCATTTTCTCCTTCAAGTCTTTCATTTCCCTCTCTCGGCTCTGGATGATCCTCTTGATATCATTAATGCGAGGCCCAAAGTTGGCTAGCTCACTCTCCAGTTTGGATTTTTCCTGCAGGAAACAGGGTTGAGAGGGGAAAAAAAAAAAAAAAAGAGACCAGGCTCTTTGAAGGAAAAGAGCTATCATGAACACACTGGCCCCTGGACAGGAAGGGCTAGCTCTCCACAGGCTGGGAGAACTTGGCTTAGAACTGCCCAGTAAGGGTCCCATCATCTCCCGCGTGAACTGTCACACAGCTTCCTTCCCAGCCTCCAGTCAGCTAGCTTCAATCCATGGGGCTGGGCACATGGCAAACATCATCAATTACAGGTCCACACTCCCTTATCCATAATCCTCAGAATTCAGACTTTTTGATTTTAGAAAAAGGTAAAAGGATATTTATACTACATTTTACATAATGCCCCCAGGTTGGTCTCGGGAAGCACCCCACGATCAAACACATTAACACATCTAGGAGAGTACGTCCACCCACAGAGACTGAAATGCCAGTACTTTCAATTCACTTTCCAAAGCAGCTCAAATATCTGTTGAATGAATGACGCTAATAATAGCATCTTAAAATTTACTGGGCACTTACTGGGTGCAAGAAGTCAGTCTAGTAGTTTACTTGTATGAGTTTATTCAATTTTTGTAAGAATGGTATAAAGCAGGTGGTAATTCTAACTCCCACTTTACAAACAGATGAAAACCTGATGCTGACAGGTTAAGTAAGTTGCCTCCTGTCATACAGAGCTGAAATCTAAAACTCTGGCTGTCTGAGCTGCTACGCTTGGTTCCCTGAAGCATGCTGGGAGGAGGGAAATGGGAGGAGTTCCCACCCCAGAGAAACCTCAGCCAGGAATATGAGGGTGGCCTTTGGAGGACAGGGTTGAAGGCCAAGCCCCACCTGTAGATTCAGGGCTAGATGTCGTGTCTTGGTCTGTTCCAGGTCACTCTGTGAGTACTTGAGCCGCATCTGCAGTCCGTGGGCCTGAGACTGCACCTGACGTAGCTCTGCTTCCTTCCGCTTTGCCTTCATCTGTTCCTGAAATAGACAAGAGAGAAGGGGTAGGGCGTAAGAAATGGATTGGCCAGCCTGGTAGTTTAGGACTCCAACCCCTAGGGATGTTACAGCCTGTGACTTACTTTCAGCTCCTCTGTCAACCGCTCCTTCTTCTCTTTCAACTTATCTACTGCTTTCTCATCCCATCGCCGAGCCTTGGCCTTCAAATCACTGGCCCCACCAGAGATCACCCCTGACTTCTGGAACAAGGTCCCATCCAGTGCCACTGTCTACACACAGTAGAGAGAAGAGATGAGGAGAGGGGGGAAAAGATGAATAAAAGAATCTCCAATACTAATGTGGACAAGGAATCTCCAGCTCCAACATGGACAAGGGAATCCATACCTTGTGACGCTGGTGGCCTCCAAAGGCAATGCGACGAGCATCTTCCACATTGTCACAGACAAGGGCATTGCCACAAGCATACTGCAGGGCCTTTTTGATGTGGGGTGGCTCATAGCGAATCACATCAATCACCAGCTTGGCCCCCTTCAGTTCCCGGAGCTTCTCATCTGTAGGTTTCACCTGTGGGAATAAACTCAGTAAGTAGTAGAACATGGAGGGCTAGGAGGGACCCTCTCACATTGCCCTGACCCCATCCCCACCAGCCTCACCTCCAGGTAGTCAAGAGGCAAGAAGGTCTCAGGCTCCCCACGCTGTTCCTTGATGTACTGAATGCAATCCCGACCTGTCTTCTCAGAGTCCACGATAATGGCATCCATGTTCTTTCCCAAAACTTTGGTTACAGCAATCTGGTACTTCTTTTGTGTAGGCTGACAGAGGTCAATGAGGCGGCCATACTGAGGAAAGTGGAAGAGCAAATTGAAGCATGAGGCTTTTGGGAACTGGCTCGATTCCTAGCTTAGAAAGAGGAAGACCAAAATCTGTGTGAAGAACACAGCTTCCATGCCATGGAGGAAAAGCCTACTCTGGCCCCAAAACAATAATCACTTCATTCATGCCTAAACCCCAAAAGCATCTTTCTGAACCTCATTTTTACCATTTCACAGAGCACTGCTACCCCAGGCACTGTATCAGATACCTTATATACGTTACCTGCTACCCCAGGCACTATATCAGATACCTTATATACGTTACCTCAAATTCTTTTTTTTTTATTAATTTTTATTTATTTATGATAGTCACAGAGAGAGAGAGAGAGAGAGAGGCAGAGACACAGACAGATGGAGAAGCAGGCTCCATGCACCGGGAGCCCGACGTGGGATTCGATCCCGGGTCTCCAGGATCACGCCCTGGGCCAAAGGCAGGCGCCAAACCGCTGCGCCACCTAGGGATCCCCGTTACCTCAAATTCTTACAAGCACCCAGCAAAATACATCTTTTTCTAGTTCACGTCCCCCATGCCCCCCTAAGCTAATTGTGCTTCCCTAAGAACTATCAGATAAAAAGTAAGATTTTCAAGGGCAAGGAATGAGCCTAATTCATCCTTATGAATTCCCCAGCAGTGTCTAGAGGAGAGATCAGGAACTATTTATGGAAACAAATTAAGTTGAACTCAGGGATGGAATTACAGCAACAGAGAGATAATATTCAGGGAATCTGGGAACTCAGGATTTGGTTCAAGAGGCCAAGCCTAAGATGTATCTATATGCAAATGAATAGGTTGAATAGTTTGGTACATGCCAAGGGAGATCATATAGAAGCCTACAGAGTTACTTCCTAGGAGACTAATCCCTATCCATGGCCCCTACCCTTTGGAAAGGCCTCTCTTGTCTCCCTGTCTTCCACAGAGGAATGAACAAAGCAAGACAGAACCCTCAGGAAGATGCAAGAGGTGTGATGAAAACATGAGGTCATAAGTCAGAACAAGTTGGGTTTAAACTGTAATCCTTCCACTTACAAGCTGTGCTGTTTTGGGCAAGTCATTTAACCTCTCTGAGCCTGTTCTCCCAGCTTTAAATAAGGAATTAGCAATCTTGTCCTCAAAGGGCTGCTGGGAAAATTATCTGACTTTGAGTGGGAGGGTAGGTGCTCAGGAAAGGAGCTCCCTTTCCATTCTTACCACAGAGCCAGGGTACAGGCGCTTGATGCTTTCCATAATCTCTGCCTTTCGCTGTTGGCGGCTGCTCTCCTGGCGGTCGATACGGGCATCCCCCAGCTGTTCCATCACCTGGTTCAGCTCTTTGTTGATCTCATCAATACGCCGCTTGGCCATCTCCACCTCCTCTGTCAGCTCCCCCTCTAACTTCTTCTGCTCCTCTAGGGACTGCCTACAAAGTGAGGGAATACAGGGGTTACCCTGGCTGATGAGAAAATATTCCTGGCAGAGAGGGACTCACAAGGACAGACAGGGTTCACAAGAACAGGCCTGGAAAAGGAAAGGCTGCAGAGCCACATACTTGCTAGTGGTGATGTATTCCTCTAGTTTCTCAATCCGTTTCTGATTCTCTTCAATCTCCCGCAGCTTTTGCTTGATCTTAGCCTGCAAGAAAGACAAATATACATCATCACCAGGGGCTGAGCAAGTTATCTCTAAGACTATGGGGCCTAGAGTTATAGACTTATCTATAAGCAGCTTATAACCACTATGTTCCCATTCATTCAAGAGCCCAACAGTCCAGGACAATCTGTCACTAATGGGGAAGACCCACCAAAAAGCAGACACACAACAGTGTTCAGCGTGGCTCCACTAACTGATGGGCCTCCCAGAGCCCTGAGACCCTCTCACGGTGTTCTTCCTAGCCCAGGCTACCTTCCTCACCAATCAGGAAGGCTCAAACCAATGCAAAATAGAGCTTTCCAGGCCTTTCTGCCCTGTTTTCTCATCTGTAAAATATAGGCAACCTCCACTTCATAGGACATATATTAAGTGCTTAACACAGTACCGCTATTAATATTAATGCCCACCATCTTCTTTTAGATCTTTAAAGAAAGAGCTTAGTAGAATATCTGGAACACTGTAGGCTTTTCTTGGAGTACTATGACAACTATTATTATTATTATTTTATTAGTATTGTTATTAGGAAGGCGGTAAGCAAGGTATACTTGGTAAGACTGTGGCTTCAGAGCTAGACTGTCCAGGTTCATATCCTGGTTATGCCACTTCGTAACAATGTGACCTTAGACAAATTAATTCACATCTGCATTACTGTTTCCTCATTTAGAAAATGAATTAAATGAGTGGATACATATAAAATACAGTGCCTAGCACATAGTAAGTGCTCATTAGTTGTTAGCTATTGTCATCACTGTTAAGACTATCACTTCTTCTCAGTCCAGTATCCCTCATCTTAAAACACATGCCCACCTCTGTCTCTACTTTCTTCCGCTCTTCCAAATCCAGCCGGTCCTGGTCAGCTTTCTGATCCCGATTGAACTTCTCTAGCTCCTGGGCCAAGGTAGCTGCTCTCTTGCTGGCTTCTTCTTTCAACCGATGGTATTTCTTCACCTACATTACGAACAACCAACCGAATCAGTCTCTGTCAGCACAGCAATCCTCCACCCCAGCCCCAACCCTCTCAGAGCTTACTTGATTCTCCTCCAAGGTCAAGTCTCTGCCCTGACTCTGACTCTCCTCTTCCATCCGTTCCTCAAACTCCTGCCGGGCTTTCTCTACTGACAGCATCTCCTTTTCCAGCTCATCCATATCACCTTTACGCTTCTTGTAATGCTTCTGAGCATTCTGTAGGGACTTTTTGGCTGCTTCCAGCTTCTTGATTTTGTGGGAGGTATTCTCCTTGGCTTTGATATACTGAGGCCGCTTCTGGTTCAGCTCTGAGTCCTTCTCCCTTTTGCCAGTGCAGAGCAGAGTAAATTGGTTAGCAGTATGGGAGAAGGGAGGGTTCCCTGGCTTTATACCCAAAGGGAGGCCTGAGGCCCCCAGTCAGCCTCAGGGAATTGCCTAAAGAACAAGCGCCTGATGCTGCACAGATCTTCAAAAAAGGGGCAATCTGACTACTCTCTGGAAGTGATGGCTTCAGCCTGACATCCCGGCCACTCCATAAGGTAAAGCTACCACTCCTACCTCGGCCCTAGCTGGGCCAGGCCCCTCAGGAACAACTCCCAAGAACGCCCTGTGTTTAGTTGCCCCCATCTGATCTAACCGTTTCAAATTCCTGTCCTTTAAACTTCTAGCTCCATTTTTCCTCTTCCAGGAAGGCATTCCCAGCCACTCTAGTAGCTGGGCCTCTCCCATCACTTCCTCTCACTTGCCAAGGTCACCACCCCTTTCAAGTTCTCTCTTTTATGAGTAGCCATCTACCCAGTCTGAGTACTTAAATGCTCTTTTTGTCTAAAAACGCAAGTCAAGAAATGTGCTTGGTTCTGGCCAAAGCAAGTCAAGAGGAAGACAAACTAGTGCAAGCACTGGACTCTAGGCTCAGAGGAGCCCTAGGAAACAGCATAGTCTCTTGGTTTCCCACAGGTTGCAGGCCCAGGCCTGCCTCTTACTTGATCTCCTTCTCAATCTGCTGCTGCTCCCGCATCATTTTGCCCAGCTCCTTCTTCTTCTCCTTCAGCTCATCCTCTACCTTGTCCATTCGCTTCTTGTCCTTCTCGATCTCCTTGTTCTTAGAGGCCAGTTCCTTATTGAGTTTCTCAATTTCCACTTCGTTGTGATAAAGCTTAAAGAGCTGCAGCTGCACCTGAGCTCGCACCACCTCATCCTTCAGGCGCTGGTAGCGGTCAGCCTGTGCAGACAGGGACACGGAAGCAGGGGTACGTCACTAAGGCACTAGCTCCATCCTGGCCCCTCAGAGCCCAGTAGCAGCCTGGCCACCTACCTCTTCTTTCTCCTGTTTGGCTTCCTTGCGTTCAGCCGCGATGTTTTTTTTGCGATGGTAATTAAACTGTGTGTCCTCTTCAGCCTTTACCATTTCCTTCTTTCGCTTGTCATATTCCTGGGCCAACTCCCCAGAGCGACTGATCTCTTCAAATAGAGCTGTCCTCTCTTTGGGGTTCTTCATGGCAATAGATTCTACAGCACCCTAGTAAAGGTCAAAACACTCTCCCCACTTAGAGCTTAGCCATCCCAGTTCCCTCTACCCATTTCCACTCAATCAAGGTTACTGACCCTCTCCCTGCACTAGGTGCTACATTTCACACTGGGCTTTAAGGGCACATTCCTGCCTCTTGAGGTGCACAGGAACCAAAAGGGACAAAAGCAAAGACAACACTGTGTGTTACATGCAGTGACAGAAGTAGCACAGAAAAAGGACTAAATGAAGCTTGCAAGTGGGAGACTGGTAGGGGTTTCTATCCAGGAAAGCTTCCCAAAGGTGACATCTATGCTGAGTTTGAAAAATGGGGAAGAAAGTTAAGTCTCTTAACTCAAGGTTATCTCATGTAAAGGACAATTAATATGCAAAGGCCCTCAGGCCAAAGGAAGCAGGTGAATTGTGGGACCTAGAATGGTTTAATTGGGCTGGAATAATGCAGGTTGGAAGGGAAAACTACTGGCAGATGAGGGGCTAGCGAGGTGGGCAAGAACCAAAGGGCATAAGTTTGAGTTTATGCTAAAGCACTGGTTCTCAAACTTTAGCAGGCATAATAACCTGGAAAGCTTGGTAAAATACCCAGTGCTGGGCCCCACCCCATGTTCTCTATGTCCATAGGTCCGGGATGGAACCAGAAAATGTGCAATTCTAACATGTCCCCAGTTGATGCTGATCCAGAGACTACAATTTGAGAACCACCATCATGAGGCAATGACAAATCATTGAAATGCTTTAAGAAGAAAAAGGAAAGAAACAGATCTGTGCCCTCCTAAGATGAACCTAGCCTAAGGGATGAACTAGAAGGATCCAGACTGGAGTCAGTAAGCCCAGTGAGGAAGCTACTAAATTAGTTCAGGGGAGAGATGAAGCTCAAGATGGAGCAGGCCCACTGAGGATGGGCAAACAGCAGATAGCCAATAACTGTCAAAAATGCTCACCTGGAAGACGAGGAAGTTACGAGCTTTGATGAGAATGCCCAACTTCTCTAATTCCTCACTGTACTCATGTAGCTGGACCACTTTGTTGTTGATCTTGTATTCAGAGGAACCCCCTACAAGACAGAGAATGAGTTGGCTGAAGGTCAGATCTCCCTCTTATCCCAGCCAACTAGTCTAGTCACCTCCCAGGACCCAAGGGGAGCCTTCTGGCCAGCCTCACCCACCAACAATGACACGAGCAAAGGTGCGGTCCTCAGCACCCTCCTCAGAGTAGACCATGCTGACAAAGGCCCGGTTGGCAGCTGGCTTGCCCACAGGTGCTCCGTGGATCAGGTCCCTCAGGGTCTTTACTCGCAGGTTGCTGGTTTTCTCACCCAACACAAAGCTGATTGCATCCATGAGATTTGACTTACCTAAGGGAGTAGGGGGCAAAGCAAAGGAGGAGAAGGAAGTCAGGAAACACTGCTCCACCCTCACTAAAGCCTTGGTTCAAAAGCTTAGAAAAACAGTCCCCATGCAGTTATTACCTAAAGCAAGACTAGAACTCCATCTAAGAAAAAGGGCATACGGGATCCCTGGGTGGCGCAGCGGTTTGGCGCCTGCCTTTGGCCCAGGGTGCGATCCTGGAGACCCGGGATCGAATCCTATATCGGGCTCCCGGTGCATGGAGCCTGGTTCTCCCTCTGCCTGTGTCTCTGCCTCTCTCTCTCTCTCTCTCTCTGTGACTATCATAAAATAAAAATAAAATTTAAAAAAAAAAAAAGAAAAAGGGCATAATCACATAATGGATTGTTCTACAACCTTTAATGACATGAGGAAATGCCCACAATAGAAGAAATAAGCAGATATAAAACTCAACATAGTATCATCGCAACCAAGTTTAAAAGTGAAAAAAGAAAAAACAAAAGAAGAGCTGAGGGAAGGTAATAATGGGGAATTGCTGTTTATTGAGTACAATTTCAATTTTGCAGGATGAAAAAGTTCAGATCAGTTGTACAATGTAAAGATACTTAACACAACTGAACTGTACATTCAAAAATTTGTTAAGATGGCAAATTTTGCTATGTATATTTTACTATAATTTTTTAAAAGGCATATTGCTAGGGACACCAGGGTAGATGAGTTAGTTGGGCGTCTGACTCTTAATTTTAGCTTGGGTCGTGATCTTGGGGTTATGGAATCAAGCCCCACATAGGGCTCCCCACTCAGCACATCATCTGCTTAAGATTCTCTCCTTCTGCCCCTTCCACCCTACACACACAATCATGGTGCTCTCTCTCTCAAAAAAGGGGCATATTCTTATTGTGATATAATAGGACCCATAGAGCATCATGTATGAAGTATCTTACCAAAAATATTTAACCTGAATCTAAACAAATTTCCAGTTTACAGCAGTTACAGGAACATAGTAAATGACACCATGAGGAAACCCTAAGAAAATGTAGGATGCTCTTCAAGACAACTAGCCTGATCGTTTCAAAAAGTAGATGTCTGGTGTGCCTGGGTGGCTCAGTTAAGCATCTGATTCTTGATTTCCGCTCAGGTTATGATCTCAGGGTCCTGAAATGAGCCCCATGTCTCAGCCTGGGCTTCCTGCTCAGCAGGAGTCCACTTCTCTCCCTCTGCCCTCCCCTACCCCCCACCACACCCCCACACACTCACACTCGCTCTCTCAAATAAATATTTAAAAAAAAAAATTCAATGTCTAAAAAGAAAGGTTTGCAGAACCACTCCAGAAAGCGATTATTGAGAAACAACCAAAGGCAGTGTACGAACTTTGACTGGATTCCGGATTCCCTTCAAAAAAACCCAAAAGACGTTTTGGGGAACAATTAGGGAAGCTTGAATAAAAACTAGATAATTGATAACAAGGAAATTAATTTTCCCAGACATGATCATGATCTACTGGTGATACAAGAGAATGATGATTGTAGGAGTCAAATGTTGAATCCCTAGAGGTGAAATATAATTAAGTCTGTAACTTACTTTCAAATGATTAAGCAAAAACACACATGTGGGTCTGAATATTTTCAAATAAAAACTTGAGGAGGGGCAAAGGCATAGGAATAAATCTGAAAATGTAAACAGTGTAACCAGTGGTCACTTCCCAAATGGAAAATAGGTAATAGGTCAGGGAAGGCAGTCTTACTATTTATCCTTTGGGATTTTTTTTTTGTGTATTTTATATTGTGTGCACGTATCAGCTATTCAAATAAATAAGATTTTTAACATTAAGAGTGGTTATCTTTTCAATAGTGTAGTCACAATTGTTAATTTCTTCATTTTAACCTCAGGGAAAAAATTTTTTAATTAAGACTGGGGTTAGGGGAGTACTGGAGGACAGTTTAATCTCTATAAATCGCTATAAATTCTATCTCAAGATCCTCCCCTAATATGTTATATGACCTCGAACTGAGGACATGATTTCCCACACCTTTTTACCCAGCTATAAAAATGGCAGCCCCATTCCTTCCACAGAAGCAATACAAGGCAGTGATTAAGAGCATGGGTTCTAGGAGTGCCTGGGCTCATTCAGTAGAGCACTGGACTCTTGATTTAGGCTCAGGGTGTGATCTGGGGTCACGAGATCAAGACCCATGTCAGGATCCATGCTCAGTGTGGAGTCCGCTTGACCCTCTCCCTCTGTGCCCCACCCCCATGCTTGCTCTCTCAAATATGTAAATGAAATCTTTAAAAAACAACAAAAAAAGCTCAGGTTCTAGTCCAATAGATCAGGTTCTTAGTTTCACTAATTCTTAGCTGACCTTCCATTCCCTCACCTGGAAAATCTAAAAAACCATAACGGATAGGCAAAACCTTTTAAATAATGCTTGGCACATAGTTCCCTGTTGGAGTGGCAGAAGCATAGGCTTTGAAGCATGACAGGCACAGGTTCTGATCCTGGCTCTGAGAATCAATTAGTGTGCAAGTGATCATAACTGTGCTTCAGTCTTCCCATCTATAAAACCAAGATATCTCCCTGATAGGGTCATTTTGAGAATTGAAATGTAAAAGGCTCCAATAAATAAAGTATTTGACACACAGTGGTACTCAATAAATGGCAGTTCTCTCCTAACACAGGTCTGGACTCTTAGCTCTGGCTCCCATATCAGAGCAGGACTAGCACACCATGCAGACCAAGAGTCAGACTTTTAGGCATTCACTTCCAAACTTTGGGCTTCTCCCATGCTCTCCAGGGATAGTAAGAATGTCTCAGAACCAAAGCCCTCCCTACTAGCAATCATTCACTATTGCAAACATTTTTATAACATGCATTATGAGCTAAACACGGATAAAATGTTTTAAGGAATGTCTTCTTTGAGGGCACTCATAAACCAGTGATTAAGGTACAAAAACACAACCCATGAATACCAAGACAGAAGAAAATAAACATTAACACATGCCAAGTGTCTATTGCGTTCCAGAGAAAAAGAGTAATTCACTGAGAGGACCCAAGGAATGGCTTGTGGAGGTGAGCATTGAAGAACTAGGGGGTGGGGGAGGGGGTCCAAACCAAAGGTCTTTTTTGAACAGCTGGATATACAAATCTACCCACACTGACAGGAGTGAATGCTAAGAGGTGGATTCTGGCTCTTTCCAAAAGGAAAATCCTAAGAAACTGGAGTGGAACCCCAAGCATCAGCCCCTCTGGGCCACTGGTTCTGAAGCGAGGTTGGAGGAAGCAGGGAGTGATTTGCCCCACCTCTCAGGGGACATTGGCAATGTCTGGAGACATTTTTGGTTGTCACACCTGGGGACTGGAGAGCTACCACCTAGTTTGTAAAAGACAAGGATGCCACTAAACATCCTACAATGTACAGGAAGAAACCCATAGCAAAGAGTTATCTTAGAAACGTCAACAGTGGCGCTGTTGAAAAAACTTGCTCTGCTCTACAAAGAGCACCAAAAACAGGCAAAACTCCAGGGAAGGTTCATGAGTTTGACCTATGTCAGCAAGGATAGCCCCTCATTTTAGGAAATGATTTAGCTAGAACATCTCTGGGGCGGAGGAACACAGCAGGATTCCAGATTCCTTGTGGGGGTAGATGGGAGGAATCCATAGTGTATCATTTACTTTTTTTTTTTTTTTTTAAAGTAGGCTCCATGCCCAGCATGGAGCCCAACAGGGGTCTTGAACTCACGACCCTGAGATAAAGACCTGGGCTGAGATCAAGAGTCCAAAACACTTAACCAACTGAGCCACCCAAGCTCTCAATAGTTTATCATTTAGAGATGAGGAGTCAAGCTATGAAAGACCTGACCACCCTTCCCCTCCTCCAGTTTTGGTGAGATATAACTGACATATAACACTGTATTAGTTTCAGGTATACAACATAATGATTCCATATTTATATATATGAAGCAATGATTATCACAGTAAGTTAACATCCATCACCTCACAATTTTTCCCTTGTGATGAGAACTTTTAAAATCTATTCTTGCAGAAACTTTCAAATGTATAATACAGTATCTACTAACCGCTCTTTCTAAAGACACCACTCAAGTCACTGTATTCCATCAACTTAATTTCCTGTCTAGCATTCATCACAGCCAAAAATTGTATTATTTTCTCCTTTATTATTGTCTTTCCATTGCAAGTCCCCTGAGAGCAAGGCTTACTCTATTCTCCGCTGTTTCTATAGCACCTTGAATAACTACTTATAAAATAAGCATTCAATAAATTTGGCGAGCAAATGAGTTCTTTAAAGGGTTTCAGTGATAGCAAAGGGGGGGATTTCGAAGCATTCCCATCTCTGAGATGGGGGTGGAGGATGGACGTCCCAAGCACTCCCGCGGGAGACAGGAGGGCTGAGTCAGAAATTCAAAAGTGCCGCCTTGGGAGGAGAGTTAAAAAAAGGAGGAATTGGAGCATACCAAAGTGAGGCGGGAGGGGGCGCTGGGCAGAAAGAGAAGTGTACTGCTGGGGACCGGAGGCTTTGGGAGGGCTACCAGCGGTCCCACGCTTTCCGGAGAGTTCAAACAAGGCAGAGGAAGTGGCCGGATGCAGCAGGTCCGGCGGGGAACTGCGCGGCCCGCGGCTGGCGGACAACTCCGGACGCGCCACTTTTGGCGGGAGGGGGCAGTGGGCGGGGTAACGTACAGATCGGCCCGTACCACTTGCTCCCGGGCGGGGGCCGCGCAGAGAGCAGGCAAGTGACACTTGGGGAAGAGGTTGGAGTCAGAGCACCCGAGCGGGGAAAGCGGGTTCGACCCGCACCCGCTCAGGAGGGAAAAAAACCTGTAAGGGTTCGCGACATTTCAGGTCGCACGGGCTGGGTTGTACTACTCTGCTGCCGGATTAGGGGGTCCAGGCCGGGACGTGCGCAGGGCCGCAGCCCCGTTTATTTCTCACCAGAGCCATTGGGTCCAATGATGGCGGTGAACCTCTGAAACGGTCCGATAATCTGCCGACCCTTGTACGACTTAAAGTTCTCGATCTCAATCAGTTTCAGGAAACCCATGACGGCGGCGGCGCCGGCGGCTGTACAAAAGGCCGCGCCGTACACCCGGGAACTGGGGTAGCCCGCGCGGGAAACACCGCAGTGCAGGCCGGGCGTAGGACAAACCTCGCGAGAATAAGTGCAGGCCTAACGGGATTTCCGGCTTCCGGCGAGAGCGGAACCAGGGGCGGGGCGTGGAAGTTTTGTTGATCCGTTGCCAGGGCGCGAGCTTGAAACAAGAGTTGGGTCCCGCCCCCCTTTCTTGTTGCGTGGCAACGCAAAAGGCTGACTCTGCCTACCGAACCTTAGAGGAGGCAGTGACGGCGGACTCAGCAGCTTTTCAGATCCGAGGAAGCAGACAGGACTGGAGCCCACCCTTGCTGAGACTGAAGTGACAGCAGAGTTATGCCCTCTAGGGCAAGAGGAAGGTGGGAGCTTAGCTGTGGCTTTAGCCTGGCCGGCCTGAAGGATCAAACAAGAACAGGGTCGGGAATTGGAAGGACCCCCAGGACAGAGGGGCCAGCGGGAGGACGCGGTGTTGGGTGAGCTCAGACCGTGCAGAGGTTGAAGTAGGGTTGGAAGTGCAGTGGAATGGGAGTAGGGATGGGTTGGGGTGGGAAGGGGGATGGAATGTGAAGGGAGATGAGGGTACTCTGGAGCATCTGGGTTACGGGCTGGGGAACGCTATGGGGTAAGGAAAGCTACGGCCAGAGATACTGTCTTTATCCATCTCCCTCATTTTCCTCCAAGCAGAGCTCAGGGACTGCTGCTGTAGCCCAAGAACAGTCTTGGACCTGAGCCACTTGTTGGCTGCTTGAGCTGGGAGCTTCAAAATTGACACTCGTTGCTAAGAAAGGTATTTCGTGTGAACCCCTGGGAGTCACAGTCCCTAAGCCAGTACTCTCCACCCTTATCCTCCTTCCTTTCTCCCCATTTTATCTATCTCCTCCATGCTTCATCCCCATCCCATTTCCTCTTCTCCATCTAACCCCCTTCCTTGCTTTCCTCCTTCCCCTTCTCTTGCTCTCCGTCCTCCATCTCTGTCTACTGTTCTGTTGCTCTCCTTCCCCTTTCCTTTTTTTGCCTCCCCCCACCATGCTCTGCCACCTCTGTCCCTTTCCCTTCTCTCGTCCCCGTATTTTCTATCCTTCTCCTTCATACTTTCATCCTCCTATCACCTTATACCTGCTATTACAAGGTCATGGTCTTAGCAATCCAAGAAGCTTAAAATATCTGCAAAATCTTCCCCTTCAGTGACCTTACATTGTGGTGACAAATGGGAATGAGTAAGTAGGTTGGAGTTGGTGCCTCGACTTGGACATGGAAAGGGTCTGGTGGTTGCCATGGCTATTCCTGAAACCATTTTTAAAATGACGTATGGAGGCTGGGAAGAGTATAAAAGTCTTAGGACAAGTCCAGGAAAGCAAGAAAGCTTGACTGATGGAATCTAGTAGAGGAACCATAAATGAATTCAACTGGGAGAAACAGTCACAATCAGGCTAAGGGGACAAAATTATCAAAGGGCAGCAATCTCATATAACTGACAAGAACTAGTGTTCCATTTAAAAAGATGAAACTTGGGGCAGCCCAGGTGGCGCAGCGGTTTAGCGCCGCCTGCAACCCGGGGCGTGATCTGGAGACCCTAGATCGAGTCCCACGTCAGGCTCTCTGCGTGGAGCCTGCTTCTCCCTCTGCCTGTGTCGTCTCTGCCCCTCTCTCTCTCTCTGCATCTCTATGAATAAATAAATAAAATCTTTAAAAATAAATAAATAAAAAGATGAAACTTGGAAAAAAATCAAATTGGATCCCTACCTCTCACACTGTATATAAAGTGCAATTCCAAATGGATTAAAAACTTAAATGAAAAAAAAGAAAAAAAAACTTAAATGAGAAAGGCAAAATTCTAGACATTTTAGAATATATAGCAGAATATGATCTCAGGGAATTTCTTAAATAATGAAAACTTCTAAGCTTAAAGGAAAAGATTGCTGGATTTGACTACATTTAAATTCATCCAAGTTACAACATAAAGAAAGTGAAAAAATGGGTGGGTGCACACAGAAAGCTTCTAGAGTATTGATAATTTATTTTCTGGCTTCCACTGAGAGTTTACAGGTGTTCATTTTGTTGTTGTGCTTCATAACTTACATGTGTGTTAACCATATTCCTTTTTATGTATCCACTGTAACCATAAAATAATGATAAAGTGAAGGGGCACCAGACTGGCTCAGTCAGTAGAGCATGTGGCTCTGGATCTCAGGGTCATGAGTTCAGGCCCCATGTTGGGCATAGAGCTTACTTTGAAAATAAATAAATATCATTTAAAAAATAATAAAATGAAAAGTCACAAATTGGAGGTGTCTGCCACATTTAAACTAAGAAATGATTAGTGTGTCAGTAATAAAGAACTAAAATTAATAAGAAAAGGACAAGCAACTTGATTTTTTAAAAACACGAATAAAAGGTATGAATGAGCACTTCACAGAAGCGTAATCAAAAATGGCCAAAACAGGGATCCCTGGGTGGCGCAGTGGTTTAGCGCCTGCCTTTGGCCCAGGGCACGATCCTGGAGACCCGGGATCGAATCCCACGTCGGGCTCCCGGTGCATGGAGCCTGCTTCTCCCTCTGCCTATGTCTCTGCTTCTCTCTCTCTCTCTCACTGTGTGCCTATCATAAATAAATAAAATAAAATAAAAAATTAAAAAATGGCCAAAACACATATGAAAAGATGTGCAACCTCACTAGCAATGATAATGTCAATAAAGATTGTTAATTATAATTGTTAATTATAATACAAACTGGCAAAAATTTTAAAGTCTGCCATACCAAGTATTGCTGAGGATATAAAGTAGCTGGAGTTTTTATATACCTGAGTGAAGTGTAAATTGGTATAATCTCCTTGGAAAACAACTTAGTGTTATCTTGTAAAGTTAAATATGCCTTTGACTAATGACCAGCACTTGCACTCCTAGGTATATGCTAGGGAAACTTTCCCACCTGTATATATATTTCTTTAATCTACAGGTTCCTCCTCCCTCTTTTGCAATTAACAATAATTATAAAAAAAATAAAAAAATAAAAATAAATAAATAAAACAATAATTATAAACTGGGTTGTTTGTGTTGCGGAGTCCTAGTCTCTCTTGAGCTTACTTCAATCAGGTTTTTATCCCCAAAACCCCACCAAAAATGTTAAGGTCATCAGCAACCCTCACATTTCTAAACCTGTCAGTTCTCAGCCCTCCTCTTGACATATCATCAGTTGCTCACTCTCTCCCAAAAGCTTCTCAGACACCACACTTATGGTTTTCCTCCCGCCTCACCAGACGCTCAGCCTTCACCTCCAGTGCTGACTCCTCCTTTCCCCATCTCCCCTGGGGCATTCTTACCCATCTACACTGACTCAGAGATCTCTTACAGCCTCAAAGCTTTAAATTCCTTTGTATCAGGGACTCCTGGTGGCTCAACGCATCAGGCTCCTTGCAGGGAGCCTGCTTCTCCCTCTGCCTGTGTCTCTGTCTCTGTGTGTGTGTCTCTCATGAATAAATAAAGAGAATCTTTTTTAAAAATTCCTTTGTATCAGTCAGGATAAGCTGAATTATGCTGAGGTTACAAACAACCCCCAAATCTCTGCAGCTTAGAAAAACAAGGATTTCTCACCCATGCTTGTCTGATGTGGGTTGGCTACATCTCTGCTCTACGTCATCATTCCAGAATCAACACTGAAGGAGAAGCCCTTACCTGGGACATTGCCAGACTCAATGTCTTCTGCTAAGACTTCGCTTAGCAGAGAGCGAAGAGGAAAAAGTGGAGGGCAATCACATAATGGCTCTTAGTTCTGTTTGGGATTAGCATGTGTCAATTTTCCCATTGCAGAGGGCAAAACCAACCACGTGGCTAACCTTCAGGGCAATGAGATATGGATGAATAAGCCTTCTGCAGGGAGGAGCAGCAGATCTTTTTGAACAATAATAAAATTCACCATACCGTCTGTGTGCTATCAGTGGATATCTAACAGACCTCTCAAACTCAACATTTCCAAAACTAATCTCTTGATCCTCCTCCTGCCTCCATCCCATACTGTTCTTGCTACACAGACTACTCAGTTGATAGCAACTCCATCCCTCGGGTTGCTCCAGCTCAAATCTTTGAAATCATTCTTAATACTGCTTTTATACTGCACATCTAATCTATCAGGAAGTCCTATTGGCTCTGCCTTTGACATATATCCAGAATCTGACCACTTCTCACTCTCTCTGCTACTACAAACTTGACATGATTCAGCATCATCTCTTGCCTGGACAACTGCAGTCACCTCCTGTCTAGTCTCCCTGCTTCTAGCCTTGCTTCTGGTCCCCTCAGTCTATCCACACAGCAGCCAGACATAATCCTTTAAAAATCAAAGGCAGAGCACATCATTCCCACTGCTCAAAACCCTCCAGTGGCTGCCCATTCTCCCAGAGTAAAAGCCACAGCCTTTAACAATGTTCTACACAGTTCTACATGCTCTGTGCCCTCCTGTTATCTAATATCATTTCCTACCTACCTCTCCTGCACTCACTTGCCTCCCTGTTGTTCCCCTGAGTATGTGCCTTTTGTGTCCACCATAAGACCTCTGTGTTTGTCCCCTCTGCCTGGAGTGCTCTCATCCTAGATACCCGCATAGGTGACTCCCTCACCTTCTAAGTATTTGCTCAAATATTACCTTTTCAACTATGCCTTCCCTGGCTTCCACATTTAAAATGGCAATACGGGGCAGCCCAGGTGGCTCAGCGGTTTAGCGCCACCTTCAGCCCAGGGCCTGATCCTGGAGACCTGGGACAGATCGAGTCCCACATCAGGCTCCCTGCATGGAGCCTGCTTCTCCCTCTGCCTGTGTCTCTGCCTCTCTCTCTCTCTCTCTCTCTCTCTCTCTCTCTCTCTCTCTCCTCTCTCTCTGTCTCCCATTAATAAATAAATAAAATCTTTTAAAAAAATAAAATGGCAATACGCCCCATGTCCTTGGCACTCCAGTTCCCTTTATCCTGCTCTATCTTTTCCCCCATAGCACATATCATCTTCTTACAAACTCTTCAGCATACTGTTTATTGTCTCTCTGCCCCCACTAAAAAGTAACCTCCACAGAAGACTCAGATTCTCGTCGGTTTTGTTCTTTGATGTCTCCCAGTTCCTTATAGGAGTGTCTGACAGTAGGCAATCCACAACGATTTGTTAAATGATAGAATGAACATGAGTTAAAAAAGTAAGATGAAGAAAAAATGCACACTACATGATACATTATCAAGTTCCAAAACAAGAGAATGTTTCAAAATATTGTCCAGGGAATCATATACATACACAGTATGTTAATGCCTATTAGTAAGCAAATGCTAACATTTGCATGATGGTTATCTCTTAGGGTAAGGATGAGGGAAAAGAGACATAAGATACTTTAAGAATATTGATCAAGTTCTATTCCTTAAGGTGGGGAGTTGGTTCATGGGTCTCTTTTATCATGTTTCTTAACTTGCATATAGGTTATATATATTCTGTATATATCAAATTATTCAGTAACACTTTTTTTAAAAATAAAGGATCATGGGAATCTGGGTAGCTCAGTCAGTTAAGCATCTGCCTTTAGCTCAGGTCATGATCCCAGGGTCCTGTGATGGAGCCCTTCCCTGCTCAGTGGAGGGTCTGCTTCTCCCTCTCCCTCTGCACACCTGCCACCCCACTCATGCGCTCACTCTGTCTCCCTCTGTCTCAAATAAAATCTTTTAAAAAATAAAAATTATAAAAGGATCAGAACTAGCTATAGGAGAAGTTCAGGAATGGTATTCTAAACAAAGAAACACCATATACAAAGACCCTGAGGTAGGAACAGTTGTTGTGTTGAAGGACTTGATAGGAGGCCAGTGTGCCTGTATGACCGTAAGTGAGGGAGACTGTGATGTGGGATGAATTAGAAAGCTGTGCAGGAGCCGGAACTTCAAACCCATGGTAAGGAGTTTGGATCTGATTCTAAGTGCAGTGGGAAGCCAGTGGAGGATTCTAAGCAGGTGAGAGACACGATCACATTTAAGTTTGCAAAAATGTTTTTGGCTGTGACTTTGGCTGGCTCACATGCCAAAACTGGGCTTCCCAAAATATGAAAGAACACAGGCAAATTTAAGCCGTCTAGCCTTTTACTTGACTAAAGAATAAGTAACAAATAGGAAATAGTGGTGCTATTTACTGAAACGGGGAAAACCAAATAGAGTGTAATGTGAATGGGGGAAGAATTGTAAATAAGTTTTTGAGACTTGGAAAGGTGAGCAAGGGTCAAATCATGAAGACTTATAAATCTGGCAAAGGGGGTTAGACTTTATAAATACTGGGGAGCCATCTGCTTTAAAGCCATTTACACTTTAAAAAAAAGATTTTATTTATTCATGAGAGACCCATTGAGAGAGAAGCAGAGACACAGGCAGAGGGAGAAGCAGGCTCTGTGCAGGGAGCCTGATGTGGGACTTGATCCCAGGACTCCAGGATCACAACCTGAGCTGAAGGCAGATGCGTAACCACTGAGTCACCCAGGCATCCCCCATTTGCTTTTTTTTAAAGATTTCATTTATTTATTTATTTATTTATTTAAGAGAGAGAGAGCATAACCAGGGGTGTGGGGCAGAGAAAGAGGAAGAAGCAGACTCCCTGCTGAGCAGGGGGCCCAATGCTGGCCAGATCCCAGGACCCCAAGATCGTGATCTGAGCCAAAGGCAGACACTTAACTGACTGAGCCACTCAGGTGCCCCTATAGATGCTCTTAAAGGTTTCTTTAAAAAGATTTTTTATTTTTAAGCGATCTCTACACCAAACATGGAGCCTGAACTTATAACCCTGAAATTGAGTCCCATGCTCCACTGACTGAGCCATCCAGGTGCCTCGTTGCTTTTAAGGGTTGTTGGTTTTTTTAAAAAAGAGATTCTATTTATTTATTCATGAGAGACACAGAGAAAGAGGCAGAGACACAGGCAGAGGGAGGAGAAGCAGGCTCCATGCAGGGAGCCTGATGCGGGATTTGATCCCAGGACCCTGGGATCATGCCCTGAGCCAAAGGCAGACACTCAACCACTGAGCCACTCAGGCATCAGGTTCCATGTAGGGAGCCCGATGCAGGACTCAATCCTGAGACTCCAGGATCATGCCCTGGGCCAAAGGCAGGCATGCAACCGCTAAGCCACCCAGGCATCCCGCTTTTAAAGGTTTTAAGCTGAGGTGTGCCATGGTCAGATTTGCTTTCAGAAAGATCACTCTGATAGCTAGCACAGAGAAAGGAATAGACAGGGTGACACTAGAGCAAGAGAGGCCACTGAGGCTCCTGAGAACATTGTCTGGCACCTGATTGTGAGACCTGAATTAGGGCAGTGACAACAAAGATATAGGACACAGATATGAAATACATCAGGAGGTAAAATCAGTAGGAATCAACAACTGGTGAGTTGCTGTAGGGAGAAAGGAATAGAGGTGGGGATGTAGTCAAGAATGGTGGTCAGCACTGATTGGCCATTCCACTCCACTCTTACTCCAGATGTATAAGGTAGACGTGTCACCAGATCCAAAGGAGGTGGCAGCCATTGAGGTTAGAAGAAATCGAGAAAAAGATCGACAGAGCCGATTCTTCAATGTGCGGACCCGAGTCATGGGGGTAAGTAGGCAACAGGGACTTTCTTGGGACCAGGGGTCACCTCACTCCTGCACCCATAGAGGAATGTAGCAGTGTCTGTTACAGCCCTCATTGATTTGAGTGGCCCCTCCAGCTGGAAAGGAAGGAGATGGAGAGAGGGCATCCAGTACCAGGTGAGGGAAGGAAGAGGGCTAGGGGTGCAGGGGAAGAGAAGTCAGTGACAGCCTACTCCTCCAGTCAGCTCTGGGCTTAGTGACCTGGTTCTCGAGAGACAGGCAACATGGAGCCAAAAGATGTCTAAAGAATATTTGGTATTTTGGTATTGTGTATGCCTAAGTGCTGTCTGGAAGGCTACATAAGAAACTGTTAACCAGGCTGAGACACAGAGATGGGAAGGACTTACTCTTCACTAAACTGTATTCCCTTTTACACTATCTTGAAATGTTTCAGAGGAATCACAATCAAAATAAACAGAAAATATTGATAGTTTAAGAAAAATAGGTTGCTGGGTAGGTGGATAGAGATCAGGGGGCTGCAGCATGGTATCCTAGAAAAGACCTCCTACCTCAAGGGCGAGGTCTGCTGTTTACTAGATATGTGGCTTTGAATGAGTCACCTGTCTTCTCTGAGCTCTAGGCTCCTCCTCAGTAAAATGAAGCTAAATAAAGGAAGTGTAAAAGTGAATATTAATATATGGTGGTGGCTGTGGAAACCAGAGCATAGTGCCTGACACAAGTAAGTATTTGGCCGAGAGATGTGTGGTGTGATTGAGATCCAGCTGGCAAGCATTTCCTCAGGATCTGTTCTGTGCCAAGAACTTGATTGGGCAGTAGGGCACAAAGCTAAGGCCCAGTCTCTGCCCTTAATAGGCTCACAGTCTGCTGGGGGAGATCATTGTCAGAGGCAAACATCAACATAATGTGGATAGTGGGTCCTAGATTCTATGGGAGTAGCACCTGCCTAAGGAATCAGGAAGGTGAAGCCTGAGCCAGTCTTGAAGGATAAATAGGAGTTTAGGTAAAAAGAGGAAGAAAGTTCCAAGTGGAGGGAGCAGCTGGAGCAAAGGCTATTTGTTCAAAACAACCTAAGAAGTACAGGGAACTGTAAGCACAGAGCTCCTGAAGGTGGGTCAGAGAAGAAGGTACTGAGATAAAGCTAGAGAAAGAGACAGAGACTAGACCAATGAGGGACTTACAAACCATATTCAGATAGTAGAACATATTCCAGGAGGTATAATGGGGACCTATAGGAGAATTCTGAAGCAAGTATATTCTGAGCAGTTTGTTTTAGAGCATTCAAGACCCACTATTGGTCCCCTACCCTGATTTACCTCATTTCTTTGGGATCAGGTGGATGTCAAAGCCCTCAACAGCCAGGTAGAAGAGCGAAAGCTTCGAGAGGCAACAGAGCAGAGCAAGGAAGCAGCTTATGGTAAAAGCCCAAGGCCCAGGGCAAGCTAAGAAGGATAGTGTAAGGGCCTGAGTGGGCTGAGGTAGGGCAGTTCTGCCTTGGAGTAGGGCCTGAAGCCTGGGGTGTGGTGGGACAAACCAGATGGACCTTTGGAGCAGAGGCCATGCAGAGTGGGCTCTGTTTCTTCTGTGGGGCTTTCTCCATGTCCCTGCCCACCACCCCCAGGTACCTACCAGATGCAGTATGATCTGGTAGCCCAGATGCTAGAGAAGGAACAGGCAGAACGAACACGTCGGCTGGCCAGGAAAGTCCAGGAATTTCGGGAGCAAAAGCAGCAGCTCAAGAACAGACAAGAATTTGACTTCTGGGATCCTGGCCGTTTCTGCATGGAGTTTCCAGGCCGTTTCGGTGACAGTGACCCCTACTATGGCCCAGCCAGCCTGCAGTGCTTTGCTGGGGAGGACCTGGACAGGGCTGCATGCCTGAAAATGCAGCAGGAGCAGTTCAAGTACAGCCTGGAGAGGCAACTGCAGGAGCAACGACAAGTCAAGGTTGATGAGAAGTGTTCAGGTTAGTAGCCGTGCCCTCCAGGCTGAGACCTAGGGCCTAGTGGGGAGTTGTTCTGAGCCAGGTACAGCACCCACGAGGTCAGAACTGTGTGGGGAGGTCCAGTGACCCATAAAGCTGATGCCAAAAGGTTAGACTGAGCAGACCCCAAACTCCCTGACTTCCTTCAGTAACTGACAGTGTAGCCATCAGTACCCACTCAGCCTCAAATTCCATTATATGGAGGCAACATAGTGAAGACAGACCTATCAGTTCTGCCAATTACCACCTGGTTTGGGCAAATGAATTTTCTTAGTGCTTCAGCTTCCTCATCCTTAAAATGGGGATAATAATCCTTGCCACAAAAAGCTCATAGAAAAAAAAAGCTCATAGAAGAATGACATGAGATACTGTATGGAAAGCACAAGCATCAGTGCTCAGTAACCAGTAGCTACTATTACTATGACACTGCCTGTGATCCTCATTTTTTATTAGAGTAAGCCCTTTAAGGGCAAGGATCACCTCTTGCCTATTTGTACTGCTCACCTTTCAAATCATCCCTGTTAGAGCATCCTATTCAGTTTATCACGTCGTGGATGTCACTAATTCTGGAAGTATTTGTGGAACGTCTGTCTTTTCTCCAAAATGTCAGCTCACTAAAGACAAATTTTCTACACCTGTCTCCCAGTGGCCTCAAACAGAGCCTGCCACGGTGTCAGGAGCTCAATAAATCATTGTCAAATGAACAACTGGAGACCGAAGTAAACAAGACAAGCACCCTGCCCTCCATGATCCCATGAAACCATGCCCCTTCTAGAAAAACAGTTTATTTTTTTAATTATTTATTTGAGAGAGAGAGAGCACGAGCAGGGGAAGCGGCAAAGGGAAAAGGAGAAGCAGACTCCCCTCTAAGCAGGGAGCCCAACACAGGGCTCAATCCCAGGACCCTAAGATCATGACCTGAGCTGAAGGCAGACACTTAACGGACTGAGCCACCCAAGCACCCCAAAAATCAGTTTAGTTGAAGAGGAAAAGATAACATGCACAAGTTATTCATCAGCAAATATTTATGCTTTAACAGTGGTAGGTATTGTGATATAAGTGTATATAGGACATGGAGGGAACATCAACATGGGAGTGGTCAATTCTCACAAGGAAAGGGAGGCAGGATGGGGAGGTGACACAAGTCAGCTATCAGGAATCAGTTTTGGAAAGTTGGGTACAATTTTTCCAAGGCACGGTAAGGGAACAAGAAAAGGGGCAGCAAGAGGTTAGAGAACTGGGGTTGTGAATAGTCCAAGAGTGTAGGATGCGTGAACAATTTCATGTTAGTGCAGCCTAGGGTTGAGGGCTTAGAGGAAGAGAAAATGTGCAAGAATTTTCTACGCCAAACTAAGGAATTGTGACTTTATTATGTAGACAGTGAGTAACCATTTAAGGGTTTTAAGCAGAGTGACAAGACTATTTCAATATTTGGCATATATTAAGCCACCTATTTTGTGCCTGGCACAGTGAACAAAATAGAAAAATCCTTGCTGTCATGGAGTTCACATTCTATTTTTTTAAAATTTTTATTTATTTATGATAGTCACAGAGAGAGAGAGAGAGGCAGAGACACAGGCAGAGGGAGAAGCAGGCTCCATGCACCGGGAGCCCAATGTGGGATTCAATCCCGGGTCTCCAGGATCGCGCCCTGGGCCAAAGGCAGGTGCCAAACCGCTGCGCCACCCAGGGATCCCTGGAGTTCACATTCTAATGGGGACAAACAGACAATAAACAAGATAAAATAGTAAACTATACAGGGGACCCTTGAACACAGGTTTGAACTGCATAGGTCCACTTATATGTGGAATTTTTTAAATACAATACTGTAAACATATTTTCTCTCCCTTATGGTTTTCTTTTTTTAAAAAAAATATTTTATCTTTTCCAGAGAGATAGAGAGTACAGGGGGAGGAGCAGAGAGAGGGACAGGCAGACTCTGCACTGAGCTCAGAGCCCGAAGTGGGGCTCCATCTCAGGACCCTGAGATCATGACCTGAGCCAAAACCAAGAGTCAGATGCTTAGCCAACTGAGCTACCCACCACCCCTCCCTTAAGATTTTCTTAATAACGTTTACTTTTCCCTAGCTTTATTTTAGGGTTACAATATATAATACATTTAATATACAAAATATGTGTTCATCAACTTTACATTACTGATAAGATCAACAACAGCAGGAGGCTGAGTTGTTAAGTTTTGGGGGATTCAAGCTACATGTGGATTTTTGACTCTGTAGGAGGCAGGGCGGGGTCCAAGGGGGCACGGTGGACATTGGTGTGCCTAAGCCCTGCATTGTTCAAGGGTCAACTGTATAAGGTAATTAAGATAGTTGCTAGGGAGAAAAATAAAGCACAAAAGGGGGGACTTGGGGACTTAAGAGCGGTGCACAGTTGCCATTTTAAATAAGGAAAACCTCACTGAGGTCATCTTTGAATACAGATCTGAAGATAAAGGATTGAGCAATGCAAACAACTGAGGGAAGAACTGTCACAAGTAGAGGAAGTAACTAGTACAAAGACCTGGAGGCAGGAGAGAGGGTGTCTGGAATGTTTGAGGAAGGCAGTACGGCCAGAGTAGCTGAAGTAGACCAAGTGAGGGGAAGAGTGATAGGAAATGAGGTCAGAGAGGTGAAGGGGCTAGATCCAGTGGGCCTTCTAGGCCATAGTGCAGATTTTGGCTTTAACTGAGGGAGGGAGGAGCCACAGGAGGGTTTTATGCATCGGGGTGACATGATTTGTGTTTTATACATAAAACTTTGCAAGCAATTGTAGAAATTGGATTACAGGGGAAGACCAGAGGCAAAGAAATAAGATAGAAGACTATTGCAGCCAAGAGGAAGTGGCCAACAGGCAGCCATGTAGCTATATGATCCCAAGGTGGCATATAGCCAGTCTGGGCTGGAGGGAGAGATCTGGAGGCCCACAGGCGGGGAAGGGTTTGCACAGGATCAGAATACTAAGCCTGGATGGAGCCTGGGAAAATAGTGCACTCTGTGAGGACAAAAGTCAGAGCTATCTTATTAACCACAACAACTCTGGTGACTTACATACTCTGCCTGGTATGTAGTAGGTGCTCAGGAAATGTATCTTGAGTGAAGGAGTGATAGAGGAAAAAGGAGTGCATAATAAAGGGATCAGGGAGGTAGGATAAAAGATGCATAAAATACTAATAGCTAACCTTTACTGGGCACTTACTGTGTATCAGACACTGTGCTGAGCTTGCTACCATATAGTAACTCATGCAGTCCTCCCCGCCGCTCTGTGAGGCAAGCACTACTATTATCCCCATTGTCAGTGGAGGAAACAAACTTTAACAGAGATGTTAAGTAACTTGCCCAGTCATACAGTTAGTGGGTGATGGAGGCGGAAAGTAAACTCAGGCAGACTGGCTCCAGAGCCCACATTCTTGGCCACTACACCATACTTGCCTTCTCTCAATCTCCATGAGAAAGTAGGGTCAGAGATCAAGGGAGAGTCTCAGAATGGGAGTCATCGATAATGTCAAATGCTCTGGAGAAGTTTAGGTAGGAACCGAAACCTGTCTATTGGATTTTGAAATTAGAAGTATTTGGGGACTTTTGTCGGACTAGTTGCAGAGGTGCCATGGGGCCAGCTAGAAGGCAGAGCTAGGCAGCAGGAACAGCAGGATACCAAGGGAGGGTACATGTTGTATAATGAAAAGAGCATGGGCTATTTCCTCGAGAGACCTGGATTCAAATCCCAACCAACTATTTGCTGACTGTGTGACCTTGGGCATTTTATTTCACCTCTGGACCTCTTAGTGTCTCCACCTGAAAAATGGTGCTGATCCTTTCCTCTCTGGGTTGCAGTGAGGAATGAAATGAAACCACACACCTCTATCCATCCTCCCTAACCTCTGCCACCCTCCAGCCTCTGAAATCCGTTCTTTGGACCTCTTCAAAGCTAAGCCTTAAGCCTATGTTCTGGACCCCATTATCCGTGTCCCTCCCTCCACCTGCCCCCAGGCTGTGCTCTCTACAGTATCCCCTGCCCTGTGTTTTCAACCTCTTCCACTGGTCCCTTCTGTGCCTGCTGTAAACATGCTTATGTCTAACCCATATTTAAAAAAAAAAAAAAAAAAGATTATCCCTGCACTCTGTGATTTCTCTGGATGCTGTGAGCTGTTTTCCTTTACAGCCATACTTTTTGAAAAATCTGCTTCCACTTGCTGTATTTTCTTCCTTTCCATTACACCACAACCCCCTGAGATCTCCTTTCTCCCCACCCAACTTCACTGACACTACTCTTACTAAAATCACCAATGCCTTTGTATTATCAAGTACCAGAGACTCTAGTTAAGTCTTTCCTCCTCGGCTGGACCATTCTTGCCACCCTTGACTCTGATCACATCCTTCTTAATCCTCTCTCTTCCTTGTCTTCTGTCATAGTACATCCTGCTCTTAGCTCTCTGGCCATTCCTTCTGTGTATCTGCCCTTTGTGGGCTCCTTTTCCCTTACTCCTTTCTTGAGACTCGGTCTATGTCACACTGCTTTCCCTACCCTGCATACTTACTGCAGGTGCCCCTGGCCCTTGTCCTGCTTTCAGCTGCCATGTCACCTACCACCTCTGTGCTGAGGACTCTCTACCCACAAAACCAGATAGCCAGATGCCTGCTGACTACCTTCAACTCAGCTTCCTAAACAGAATTCATCCATGTACCCTAGCCTGCTCTTCATTCTGTATCTTCTACTTCCTGTGGTGGCCACACCATGGCATCCACGTATCCAAGCCAGGACCCTATGAAGCATCCAAATCTCCCCTCTTCTTTACTCTCTCATCAGTACTGCTGATGTAACGTTCTATATATTTGGCCTGTTTTAAGCCCTCCAAGATGGCTTCGCTACCTCCATTGTCTCCCACCAGCCTGACTGTTTTCTATATTGGCCCCCAGAAGGAGCTTTCTAAAATATAAATCTGTGTTGCCCCCTTACTTAGAATATTTCCATTTTCCCCACCACCTGCAGGGCAAGTTTCTGGCCCTTTATCTCACCCCTGCAAAGCTCCCTAGCCACTTGCATTTTATGCTCCAGCAAGAGCAGATTAATTATAGTTTCAGACACAGACCATACGGTGTCTTGATTTCCTTCATCCATTTGACAAATATTTATTGAGCACCTACTATGTGCCAGGCTCTGATCTGGGTGCTGGGCATGGTAGTAAATAAAACAGACAAAATCCCTGCCCTCAACAATGTTACTTTCTATTGAGGAGAGAGACAGGCAATAGACAAAATAACTGAAATGTTGAGTATATGGGATGGTGACAAATGGTAGGGAGAAAAATCAGGGAAGGGGGATAAATATTGGGGACAGGAAGGTTGCAATTTTAGGTAGGAGACACAGGGAAGGCCTCACTGAAGTAGCAATATTTGAGCAAGGCCTAGGGGAAGCAAGAGAAAACATGAGCCAAGAATAACATCTGTTGCAAATCCCTGATGCAGGAGTATCTGGCATGATCTAGAAACTGCAAGGAGACTGGTGTGGCTGGACTAAAACATGCCCTGGAATGCCCTTTGCTCTTTCTTTCTATACACAAAACACATTTCAAGGATCACCTCCTCCTGGAGGTCTTCCTCTCACCTTCCTCACAAAGCTCTCATTAATGCCCTGTATACACCTCTATCATTGCCCTTCCTACATTGTGGTATGATTTATGTTTGATCCATCTCCCTGCATCTTTCATTTAGGCACTTGAGAAATCCTTGTTGCTGCTACTGTGACTATCCCTAAGCCCCCAAAAGTAACTCCTTCCACATCCTACAATTAGAACATTCTCCTCCCAAACATACACATCCACACATCTACCAAGCTTGTTGAACAAATGGCTGAATGAGTGAACCAGGAATGGAGCAGGCCACTATAGTGCCTGGCCATATTTTTCTGTGTAGATATGCTCAATGACCAGCTGCGCCTAGCCATGGACATGCGGGCCACCCAGTTGGCCAAGCTAGAGGAGTCCTGCCGTGTGGCCATGATGTCTGCCATGGCCAATGCCAACAAAGCCCAGGTATGGCCTGAGCCACTCAGTATACCGGGCTCTCCCCAACCCCTTGAACAAAGCCCTGGGGAACTTAGCCATGTCTTTGCCCACACAACCTTTCTTGAATCAGCACCAGCCCATTCATCTACCTGAGGATATCTCCTTTCACCTAAGGACCCTCTGAAGGCAGAAGATGCTCTTCCCCACATCCAGATTCAGGATGACCGGAGAACAGAACATCACCTTCCCTTCCCCAGCCACTCAGTCTAAGGGTTTCCAGAGGGCAGGAAGTTCCCTGTCCATTCCGCTTCCCCCATGTTAGGTCATTCAAAGGCCAGGCAAGATCTGTTCCTTCTCTCCCAAAGACGGAGGAGAGTAGGGCCATGTCTTCCCCTCCCCTGTGACTGAGAGTTCCCTGAAGTTGGGCACCCAAATGCTCATATTTGGGGGCCCCACCAGGCAGCTGAACTGGCTGAACGGCAACGCCGTGAGCATCAGCGTGAACAGGAGGCCAATTTCATGGAGATCCAGAACCAGATCACGAGTGACCTACTGACTGAGAACCCTCAGGTTGCTCAGCACCCAGTGGCTCCCCACCGGGTCTTGCCCTATTGTTGGAAGGGCATGACTCCAGAGCAGAGAACTGCCATCAGGAAAGTCCAGGAGGTGCAACGCCACGAAAAGGAGGCACAGCGCCAGGTCGAACAAGCACTGGATGTCAAATGGGAAAACCAGGCCTTGCACTCAGCCCAGGCAGCAATGGAGTTAGAAGAGCAGGAGAGGGAACTTTGTGCTGAATTTCGAAGGGGTCTGGGGTCTTTCAATCAGCAGCTGGCTATGGAGCAAAAAGCCCAGTAAGTTCTAGGGGTGGGGGACATGGATGAATGCCAAGGGAGGGATGGGAAGGGCCAGAGGGAGAGGAAAAGTTCATCAGCATCAGAGGCCTCTGAACTTCTTTCACAGGCAGAATTATCTGAATTCCATAATCTACACCAATCAGCCTACAACCCAATATCACCTGCAGTTCAACACCAGCAGCCGCTGAGCTCCAAATGACCATCATTTTCTCCCTCATTGAGCTCATGAAAGCTGGGAGTCAGAGAGGAAGAGGCTGCAGACCCCCTTCCCAAATCCATTCCCCCACTATCCCTGCCTTTGGCCCTAGATAATAAAGTTATTACTAACATCCAGGCCATGTGTTGTAATGGGACACAAAAGGTATGAGGTGCTGCCTTTCCCACCCAACCCCTGGGCCTGCATCTGACCCTGTTAGTATTCACCCATTCACCTGACTTCCCCATGCCAGTTTCCCCAGCACACAGCGTTACCCACTCCCTGTGAGAAACAGAGACTTTATTAGGCCCAGAGTGTTGAGCAGTTACAAGATGGCTACTGGACTTCCTCCCAAGCTGTAGTACAGTACTCCAAGGGAAGCAAGGAAAGAAGGGCACATGTTTTCTCTGCCCCTTGCCTTCAAGGCTGCATGCGGATGGCCCCATCCAGCCGGATGACCTCTCCGTTGATGAATGGATTCTCGATGATGGCTTGTACCAGATGAGCATACTCAGCGGGATCACCCAGTCGGTTGGGGAAGGGCACTTGGCTGGCCAAGAAGTTGCGCACTTTTTCTGGGAGGCTGGTCAACAGCGGGGTGCCAAATAGACCTAGGCAAGACAGTCAGAGTCTCATCCTTCCTTTCTTATTTCCCTGGCCCCTTCTCACTTTAGCTCTCACTTTAGCTCTACCATCAGGTACTTCCCGATGCCCAGAAATGGAAGGCTATTGCTGCTTAGTCGGGAGATGCTTTCCGTCCTCTCAACTGCCCATGAATCCTACCTACCCAATACCAGGTGTGGCAGGGAGGTAATATGTCTACCTGGAGCAATGGTCATCACTCGGATGCCCACAGGAGCCAGATCCCGAGCAATGGGCAGGGTCATGCCCACTATGCCCCCTTTGGAAGCAGAGTATGCAGCTTGTCCAACCTGGGGAAGGAGTAGAGGTCATACATGGAAGGGCCCTAACAAGTCACCAAAGAGGCACAAGCCATAACCCCTACCCACACACCTGGCCCTCAAAGGCAGCCACGCTGGCAGTGTTGATGATGACCCCACGTTGGCCTCCCTGGTCTGGTTCATTCTGGCCCATCTCACCAGCTACCAGGCGGATCACATTGAAGGTGCCTAAGAGATTCACCTGAAAGACCAGTAGAGACATGGTGTAGGAGCATTTGTCCCCTAAAATCTTTGGGGGCACCCACAGCCAAATACCTCTTACAGCCCTCAGAGGCCTTACATTGAGAACTCGCTGGAAGTCCTCCAAGGTATGGGCCTGATTCTTCTTTAAGTTGTATGTCTTGATGGCCACTGCAATACCTGCACAGTTGACTGCCACATCCACACGGCCGAACTTTTCTTTTGCTAGAGTCAGGGCTGCTTGCACGTCCTTCTCTGAGGTCACCTTCAAAGGGAGAAGTGGAGAAGGTATTCATCTCCCAGCACACACACTCACCACTAAACCTGGGCAAGGGGAGAGCAAGTCCAGTCTTTGAGTAACAACAGAATTCTGTAAGCAAGGAGGAGGCCAAAAGAAAACCTGAGAGTGGGGCAAAAGTGAAAATGTGAGATACTGTAGAGCAGTGTCACATTTTTCAAATCTATATCCTCTTTTGATAAATTCACATACCCCTGGAGATTTCTGTAGACCAGAGCAGTTTCAAGAATTATTATGATGACGAACTGGTTTTTTTGTACCTCGACTTGCCAAGATGATTTTACCAAGCCTCATGAAAAAATTTTCAACTTTGTAAATACAAAATTATAGGGCACAATATGCATTTTCAAACTATACATACGCCCTCCGCGAGATTCTGATATATCCAATTCCCATCCCCACTGCTGTGGCTCCAGGCTTTGTACATTCCTTATTGCAGGTGCTCCCACAGTGCTTGACAGATGGCTCAGGCCAAAAGGGACAAGGAGATGGGCCCACTGTCCACACAGACCCTTACCGAAGGGGACCCCACGGGTTCCCAGGCCAGTTTCAGTGACCTCATGCTCACACTTACATCAGCTGGGGCAAAGGCGCAGTTCTTCCCCAACTTCTTGGCTTGGACCTCGCCATCAGAGTTGGGCAGGTCCAGAAGGACAGCAGTGGCCCCTTGCCCCACCAGTCGCTCTGCCGTGGCCAGACCTAAACCAGAGGCTCCTCCGGTTATTAGAGCAACCAGGCCCTGTGAAAAAAGGAACGGTCAACGGTACTCGATGCAGACCAACCCCACCCTTTCATCTGCCTGTTTGTTCTCCAGGCTTCTGCAACGGAGGCTCCCCGGGGTGACCCTGGTGTGTTTCTCCTTCAGAATAGGACCTCTGGGTGTCTCATTCCCAGACAGCCCATCCAGTCACCCCACACACATATGCGTAGGAGAGTTGACCTTCACCTCCCGAGCCCAACCGCCGCACTAGCAGGCCTAGACAAGTGTGACCCTTCCTCCCAGCACCGATCTCTACCCCCTAGAGCCACGGCCGCGTGGTCCCAGCTGGCGCAGCGGACCAGCCAGTAGATGCGAAGCCCCAACTACCTTCACGCCCCGACAGGCCGCAGCCATTTTGCTCCGAACTCTCCGCGGGCAGGGCGGTGGGGCAGGCGCAGATTGGCGGACGCAGAGGCGTGTGGCGGGGCGGGCGAGGGGGCGGGCCGCTGCGCCAGACTCCGGGGCGTGGCGTCGGCTGCTCGCCGCCGCAGCCCAGAGGGCGAAGCTTCGGCGAGGTGCCTCCAGAGTTCTTTCACCTGGGGTAAGAATTCCGTAGCAGTCGCACAATGGCAACCACCCTCTCCGCCGGACTGTCAGCCTAGTTTCTGGGCAGGCGGCCAGCTCTGCGGGAAGTAGGCGGACAGGAGATTGGGAGTTTTCCTTACCTCTCAGAAAAAGCCTTCATTCAAGCATAAACATATGAGAGACTCCTATATGCCAGGCTCTGTGCGGGTCCCTGGGGACGATACCAAGAGGAATACTAAAAGGTTCATGCTTTACAGGAGGACACACTTCAGTTGGGGGGGAAAGGTAATTACAGTACAGACACAGACAAAGGAAGGGGCAGAGAACTAAATTCTGAGACAGACACGGATAGCCAAAGATGGAGATTCTGAGAGCCACTGAAGAGAAATATGTTAAGGAAGAGATCAGAGAAACAGATGCCAGACAGGATCACAGAGATATGGATATGGGGAACCACTAAGAGAGAAGCTGGGAGACAGACATTCTGAGACAGAGCTGTTGAGACGCATAAGCCCAGAGAGGCATAAACAGAGAAACAAAAACATTGTTCATCAGTTCAACCTTTGCTACTGTCCCCTGTGTCAAACCTATTTTACATCCCAAAGCCCACATTAATCACACGTTGCTGACTGGACCTCAACCAGACACTGTCATTTTAGTTTCAGGTCTTTGGTCATCCTGGAACATCTTTCAACCAGCATCCCAATTAGAATCTTGAGGGATGCCTGGGTGGTTTAGTGATTGAGCAACCGCGTTCGGCTCAGGGTGTGATCCCGGAGTTGTGGGATCGGAGTTCTGGGATAGAGTTCTGCATTGGGCTTCCTGCAGCAAGCCTGCTTCTCCCTCTGAGGCCTATGTCTCTGCCTCTCTGTCTCTCATGAGTAGATAAATAAAATCCTAAAAAAAAAAGAATCTTGAGCCCACCTAATCTACCTAATCTGACTTCCTTTTATACTCTTCCCCAAACCAATATCTTCAGGCCATAGATCTTAATCTATATTTTCAGCCCCATTAGTCTTTATGTTTCCTCTGTCTGAAGTATCTCCCAACATGCTTTCCCACCCAGAAGACTTCCCTCCCAGCCAAGTTGTTGACAACCACCACACTCATGGTTGCTATACCATATTCCTCAAATGATTTAGTACAAGATTTATAATCTTTCTGATGACATGAAGTCCCCCCAGCAATTTATACCACTCTTCACTGGACCCAATATGCTCCAGCCACAGTGGCCTCTTTGTGTTCATCTTTGTGTTAGCTGTTCCCTCTGCTT